AAGCGCTCTTGGCAAATATATTTTATAATGGGGATTTAGATTTATTCAAATTAGGTTTTATATGAAAACTCAAAAATTAGATTCACGTTTAATGCAAATAATGGATTTATTTTAGAACGTATAATTTTAACTAGCGGAATATTTGAAGACAAATATTTGAAAAACTTTTAATGCAATGGAAATTGAATATGATGGAAACGTAAAAAAATTTAAATGAATATTTTTAGAAAACACTCCCAAAAATAGGAAATCCTATTAATAGACAAAATATTAATATAGTAAACTACTCAGGGCAAAGGGTGTCAAACCAATTTAATTTAGTAGGGTGTCAGTAGGGGAGACAGAATAACAGTTTCAGGATACAAGACCGCAATAATTTGAATTGGAAATCGATTATTTTGGATTGGGGCTTTGATTAAAATGTTGCTGTAGGGAGTCATTTATGGAGCCACCAGATAAGAACTGAATTCTCTGTTTCGTATCGAGTATACATATATAAAGAAATTTTGGCTGAATTCGTGCTAGTAAAGATTTTACGTGTTTTGATATTATCGAATTTTACCGAATCGTCTATAAATTTCTACCAACTTATTTCTTCAAATAATCAAATGTCTTGATATCTGAAATTTAAGTTGAGACAATGCCATGATCAAACAATAAAAATTACCCAAGAACGCCTCTTCAAAATCTTTTTGAAGCAAGCAAAAGTTTTAAAGGAAAACTTTCAAACTAATATTTCATTATTCATTTGCCAGAAAGACTCAGAAGCAATTAGCTTTTAAACAGTAAAGGAAGGAAAACATAAAAAAAGGTAATTTGAAAAGAGAAAACATTGAAATTGAAAACTTCAAAAAATATCAGATTGCCAGAAACCTCCTACTCACAACAGATTATGTTATACTTACTTTTAACATGACTTCTTGGAAGTTGATGCCATATAAATAACATTCGAAGAATTTGAAAACCATGATTCATTACCTTGATTAAAAAAAAAAAACCTACAAGTCTCTATTGAAATGTATCAAACATATCAAATCTAAATTCATATTTTGATTTTATCGAAATGGCTTGTACAACATAATACAAATAATTTAAATTTATATGGTCAATACATACTTAGTGTAATTAATAGGACTATACATTCAAATTATCAAATAAAATGACCAACGGGTAAATACAAATAAACAAGAGAATGGTGGGAATAATTAAATTAGGTAGGTATATTTTCTATTATACGCTGTTTATTCACTCCATCGATTGGTGGAAAATCAGATAAGTTATGCACAGTATTTGCAAATTTTGATTTATTCGGGGTATTTACCATAAAAAAATCTGTCTGTAAATTGGATATTTGAAGCAAATCAACCGGCAAGATAACTTTCAAAACATATAGAATAAAGCGCTTTTAAAAACAATCGGAGTGTTGTTTTGAAATCCCACTCGAACACTAACGTTTTTCATTAAAAAGCTTTCAGTAATCCGCTAGATTAAAGGCAGCTTTTGCTAAAATTTAATTTAAAAAGCCAAGTGATGTATTTGTTTCTTGTCATTGTCATGTGAACTTTGATTTTCACTTAAAAGATCACACAATGAAGTAATTTTATTTGCAGGACTTTATGGGTAGAATAAAACTGTGTTTTAAGTAATTTGTTTTTCAGGTACTTGACTTAAGAGCTATTTTATGTGCGATTACACGTGTCGTTATTGCTTAAAGGTCGAAATGTCTATCTAGGATTTATAGAGAGATTTGAGTGAATGATTTCAACAAATGAGAAGCAATATTTAGTTTCTCACATGCCTGAAGTATTCGATTTTCATGTCACAAGTGTGCTTATTATTTGAGAGTTGGGAATCTTATTTTGGGAGATTTTATAGGTTGCTCGGCTTTCTTGGCCGAGTTTGATCTTCACGACCAGAACTCTATGATCACTTTCCGTGTTGAATCTTAATTGAGACTATATTATCATCGATGTATCTCCTTTTACATTTCATGTTGTGGCATACCTCCTGATGATATTCAATTCTATATCCTATTGGATCTTTTTCTTGAATATACTGCTTAACAGAATACAGAATTTGTGTTCTACGAGAGTTCTTCTTTGACATTGAACTACATCATGATGACAGTTTCTGTTGTTAGCTTTACATAAGGTTCTTGTTAATTTTCTACCTAAGCAGTTGTCAATTTGGACATGCGTTCTTCTTCTTTACAGATTAATTGCAGGGTACCACTGAGGTCTGTTCTGGGCTCTCTATTATTTTTAATTTACATCAATGATGTTACTCGTCTCAAAATTTCAGGTCTATTTACTCTATTTGCGGACGATACTTCTGTAGTATGGCCACCACAAAGACGTTAATATCCTAAAAACCACTATATCTGAAGATCTTGTTAAAATAAAAAGTTGGTGTGATGCTAATCGCTTGTGCTTTAATGTAAATAAAACAAATGACTTACAACATATAAAGGACCCTACCCAAAGTATACGGAAATTGTGTTTATGTCAGAATTTGCTGAATTTTGTATGTAATGTAGATCACGCCTTTCTGATTAATAGTTACATTTGCACCAATCCTGAAAAATTACTATACGTAGCACACCACTGCGCCATAAGCTTACCTATTTGTGTTACATTGTATGTACGTGAACAATTACTTATTATATAAAGTCAGAATTTGTAAGATTATCCACATTTGTCAATTTGCCTTCCAACAGGAATTAGTAATGTTACCAAAATAGTAACATAATGTGACAAGTTGTTCAAGTACAAACGAGTGGATTGTTGCGGAATTTAGGAGCGGACCTCTGCGGGACGAGCGCAGCGAGTTCCGCAGTCATCTATTGATTAATACGTTGTTCAAGTACGATACTAACCTGACTTACTCAAATGTCAGTTATTCTCATTAGTTCAAAAATTACAAGTTTCAGGTGAGTGTCTTATTTGAATCGTTCACCAGTATATTGGTGAGTAGATGGCTGCGGAACTCGCTGCGCTCGTCCCACAGTGGTCCACCCATAAGTTCCGCATTGATCCACCTATTTGTACTTGAACAATAACTTATTATGTAAAGTCAAAATTTGTAAGATTATGATTATTCTCTTTTTGTCAATTTGCCTGTCAACAGGAATAAGTAATGTTACTTTACCAAACTAGTAACATAATGTGACAAGTTATTCAAGTACAAATGAGTGAATTGTTGCAGAACTTATGGGTGGACCATCAATTCATCAATGTTGTTTAATTACGATACTAAACTGACTCACTCAAATGTGCGTTATTCTCATCAGTTTAAAAATTACACGACACGTTTCCGGTGAATGTCTTACTTGAACAGTCAAACAATATATTGGTGAATAGGTGGCTGCGGAACTCGCTGCGCTCGTCCCGCAGAGGTCTACCCATAAGTTCCGCAACAATCCATTTATTTGTACTTGAACAATAACTTATTGAATAAAGTAAGAATTTGTAAGATTATCCACTTTTTGTCAATTTGTCTTTTAACAGGAATAAGTAATGTTACTTTACCAAACTAGTAATATATTGTGACAAGTTATTCAAGTACAAACGAGAGGATTGTTGCGGAACTTATGGGTGGACCCAACCATCTATTCACCAATATGTTGTTCAAGTACAATACTAACTTGATTCACTCAGTTGTGAATTTTTCTCATTAATTCAAAAACTACACGTTTCAGGTGAGTGTCTTATTTGAACAGTTCAACAGTATATTGGTGAGTAGATGGCTGCGGAACTCGCTGCGCTCGTCCCGCAGAGGTCCACCCATAAGTTCTGCAATAATCCACTTATTTATATGTACGTTCATTACAATGTCCAAGCGTTTTACTTGCTACCTATGAATACTATGAAATTAATTTTCTCAAAAAGGAATCATTTTTCAGGATTGGTGCAATGGTAACTTTTAATCAAGAAGGCGTGATCTACATTATATACAAAATTTAGCCAATTCTGACATAAACACAATCTCTGTATACTTTGGGCAGGGTCCTTTGGGAGATGATCCAATTCAGAACCCTAAGTTAATAAATTCCTTGGAATTCACATTGACAATGAGCTAAAGTTTGAAGACCACATTATGAAATTAAGTGAAAAACTTTCCTCTGGTTGCTTTGCAATACGATGCTCGAGATCTGAACTGGGCGAGAATGTGGCAAGGACAGTATACTTTTCCCTGTTTGAAAGTCATCTGAGGCATGGAATTCCATTCTGGGGTGCAGCCAGTCAATACTTATTGCTTCTCACTTTGCAGAAGAAGGCTGTGAGGTTCATATGTGACATAAATCAAGGGGTATCTTGCAAACCTTATTTTGTAAAACACAAGATCTTAACAATACCATCCCTTTTCATACTGAAAACTTCCAGTCTGGTTTTTAAAACTCACAGAAATGCCAGTAGTCATAATAGATCCTAAAGGTCCACACGATAGTGCGGTAATTTGCCTTTGCCTATACCAAGGAGCGCTCTTGTTCAAAAATCTCTTATCTTTGAAGGAAGAATTTTTTTAATTCATTTGCCATTAGTCATTAGACAGGCCGCTACCGTTGGGGTGTTTAGGAAAAAACTTAAAATTGCGCTAGCAGAAACCATACTACAGTATCACTGAATGTTTTGATGACCAGTTGTGATATCTGTATTTCTATGTTTGTAGTGTCTAACCGTATACCTATTTATTGTGTAAAACTTTCTGTACATTTTTTTTTTTGGATTGTTTTATAGATATTAATGTGATTGTTATGTTAGCTTTAATGACGCTGTACCAATTAGCTTATAGCCTGCTTTGTCGACTAAATTATTGACAATAAAGTACTTTTTAAATTGAATTGAAGATGATAATGTATCCAGTTGAAAGGGGACTCGTAGACATTCTGGTCTTGATGATTGTTACTATTTTCATAAATCATTGAAAAATTTATCAAACTTCGAGTAATTTTGAATAATTAACCAACTAGAACAAGTGATGATTCTTATTTTCCATTACAGATCGACCCTCCACCAACTGGTCCATCTCAGCTAGCAGCGCACAGCGCCGGACTGTCCGGCGCTGCCCACGGCGGTCATGGAAGTCACCTGATGGTCGGCGGCGCAGGGGTTGAGGATGGCAGCTCCGATGACGCCAATACGCCCCTGCACAGCCCCCGGTCTCATAACACCAGTCGCGAAGAGGACGAAAGTTCGAACGCTAACGAGAGCGATTGCAAGAGTCCGAACCATAGGTAACCACAATTTTTGTCCATATAAAAGTCTAAATTATAATGTATACAAGAAATTGGAGGCTAGACCTCGTTTCTTAATTGGAAATTTGAATTAAAAATGGGGGTGGATTCACTCATTTCAAAGTCTTTTTATCTCGACTTTTTTCTTCAAGTTTTCGGTTCCTGTCACGTCTGATAGCAAAGGTTTCAATTGAAAACTTGAATGGAAAATCAGTGAAATTCTTATTTAAGTGATAGCGTTAATTATCAATTAAAGAAATCAGTTGCTTATAAATCAGGAAATCATCTTTTTTACTGATGCACCCGTCACCAAACTTGGGAAATATAAGAGATACATCCTCTTATATCTCTTATTGCTTTAGAATTCATAGATCTAGCCACCATCCTTGAAGTTGGAATCCTCATTCTGACTCCTAAGAGAAGCAAACTGCTTGTTATTTTACAGATGAATTTATGAGGCATCGTGTATAATGGGCAAGTGATATGAAAATATTCAACCCCTTATCACAAAATGCGCATCGTAGCCCCTCAAATTATGAAATACAATTTGAATTACAATCAAGATTTTAGAATTTAAATTACAAATAAGGTGAGCAGATCCTACACTATTTGTAACTTGGTTAAGAAGCTACTATTAACACTATTTCTATAATAACAATTGCTTTGAATTTTGTAATAAAAATATAAAATATTGTGAAAAGTTAACCCAAAATATTGGTAGGTACCTACCTATACTTCCCTCTGTTTTGTGTCAGGTATGGAATATTTATATATATACAAGAGCTTTTTACATCTCCGTGTGAAAAATGACCCTACTCACAGCTGAACCGAACCTTTACCAAAGTGAAGTGTGAGTGTATACCCATGAAATGAAATTAAAATATAAAATTAAAACAGTCTAAGATTTAAAAAGAAAATCCTATCAAAATGCATTTCATCCGAAATATCTCGTTTTGCTGTCTGACATAGCTGCACGCTCGAGAAAGTCAAACAGCGGAAGAAGGCAGTCGAATAATAATAAATCGTGTATGCTCTGCACGATATTCATAAAGCGGCGTGTTATTTCCGTAAAGTAATAGTAACATTTTGACATCACATGTAAATTTTTAATGATACAGGAAACAGGGCAAGGATATACTCACAACTCACTATAAAATTTGATTGGTTTCTTTAAAACTACCAAACGTTGCATAAATAAAAGTTTAAATTGCTTTCGAAAAGCCTAATTTAAATAATGACCGATTCGAAGTGGAATTAGTCAAATTTCGTTCATTGGGGCCTACCTCGCTAATGAACCAAATTTCCACGAAAATGAAATTTTCTTTTTGGAATTGGAACTAAACTTTTAGCTATTACTTTAATATAATTCTACGATAACCAGATGTTTATAAAGTTATACTTTTGAAACCAAATGTTACTTTGCAGTCATAGCTGGACTGAATTCTCCATATTGAAGAACGTAATCACTCACTCAATAATGAGGCATCTTCTTACTTGACTTCTGCTCACACAAGTTTAAATGTTTCCTGATTCTACATCTTAAAATGTTTCATTTCTCTTCAAATCAACAGTTTAGGGGAAAAACAAATTAATATGAACCAACATAGAATCACACCAATAGGCACTTTTTTTTTAGGGGAATCCATCCAAATTGGCACAATACAATTGTAATAAAACGTGTCCACAGATTTACAGTAATTGACCGGCCCGGAAACATTTCGGCTCGTTCAATATTGACAAAGTTTAACTGCATTTCAAACATTGTAATGGTAAAGTTCAGTTTAGAGCCACACTGAAGCTGACATTCAACAAACGCGATTTCCTACATTTAAATTTCTGCGCTCAATATTGGGGAAATGGGGAGATGGATCTTTGGGGGATATCGCTGTCAAGTGCTTTTTGAATAGCGCAGTTTCAGTTCGATCACATTTTTATGATTTTTGGAGTCATAAATATGAAAACTGCTTCTGCAAAACTTTACGGGGCACAAAAGTTAGCTGAGAACTTGGACCAGTCAGGGTTTAACTGAAAATTCTTCTTATTCTTCAGAAATCCTGGAAACAAGCTAATCCTGTTTAAAATTAGAGAATACCCACTACAAAAATCTCAAATATGTACTGCTAAATTTTTAACTCTTTTCGTCAGAAGAATTCATTATACCTACAAGCATCCATATTTTAAAATAAATAAGGAAGTATATTTTTGCCCCAAATACATATTTAGCAGACTTGTTCACATAGTAGATATCTAATAATATTGCATATTAGGTATGCAAGTCGACCAAGAAAGTTTTCCTATGCAAATTAACAGCATTTCAAACGAGACTAACGAACTGAGCAAGCCTAATGTAAACTTTTACTTATAAATACGAACTTGATGAAAATAGTCGAGTTTTACAAAGAAATTGGCTCTGGATGTTTTTGTATTTGTTGTCTTAATGAAACTGTTGCGACTCCGTCTCTTAGCCACAAAAGAAGATTATATTCTCGACAGAATATTGATGAGGTACTTTAATGAAAAATTACTTGCCAAAGAATAATAAAACATTTTTTAATAAACATATAAAACTATCTCATTTAAAATTACTTAACTTAAAATGTTTACTTAGAAAGTTGTAAGCGTCAATTTAGAAGTTATGCCAACGAGTTTATCAAAGTCAAAGAGATAATTTTGTAGAATGCAAACTAGCTTATTTTGAAACATAAATATTTACTTAATAACTATCGAAAATTATTAACTCTCATCCAAACTAAACTGAAAAAGTAATTTGAAAAAAACCTCGACGAATTAGTTTGAGGACTCTCCATAGTTCCCATTGTGGCCATTTAACTAGTCCGGTCGTCATGAATGCACCAGAAACGTGAGCAACATTTTGATTAATGGGATTTTAGAGCGGTGCAGTTTCAACGTGGGGCCGACACGTGCTGACGTTAGCTGGCAAAGGCCAATTTTCTAGAAAAAAGGCGACGGTAATTAAGGTACTTTGAGAGTAACTTTTGTTAACTAAATGGCAATCGTATAACTAATTCATTTTAAGGAAAAGAATTATTTCACAAATCAGCTGATAATTATTACAAAATTATCAAAATCATTATTCTATCGGGTATATCGGGCTGGTAGAATAAATGTTCCGTGAAATAGAATGGGCACTTTTTGGGTCATGGACTTCCCAAACAACCAGGCACCACAGCTTACTGATTATTATTTCAAATACTCCATATCTGACACAAACCGTACTTTTATTTTATCATAATTTTTTGGCGTATTGGAACACTATTCTCAGTGAAATTTTCGAGTTCTCTAGGGCCAACCTTGCACTGACGAAGTGCAAAAATGCCGAAACGCGTCTGTCGTTGGATCATAAATGAAACTGGATACCAGTTTGCCATGATTCAACTATCAAATTTATGGCCTTGGTAATGTCAATACAGATTGGTGCAAGGTTGGCTCCAAATCACCCAATGGGGATTTTTCTGCGAGATTTTTATTGAGAATAGTGTTCCAATAATTTGCCATACCCCTCTTCACTCAGGAGTTGAACACTCCTAAAATAGGTCCCAGTTCCATTGTAGATCCTACACTCTGGGTAACAGTTGGTCTGAATTACCTAAATATAACTTGTAGCATAAAATCACCAGGTGAAATAATGATCATAATTACTAACATAATCTAGCTCTACCGATCTTTTCAGCAGCATTGACTCGGAAGACAAGCGTACCATCACGTCGGAGAAGAGTACGAAGCCGGCAACGCAGAGTTGGAGAAACCTCAGAGCCGTGATGGCTTATTATCATACGCTACGCAAAATCAAGAGGTTTTTACCCATTTGAACTTCTCTACTCGTACTTGTGTTGATTGTCGGCGATTAACCAGTCTGTCGCGTATTGTTGGTCATTCGATTCGAATAAAATCGCCTGGTTATCGCTAACATTGTACAAAATTTCTCCTCTGCAGCATTGACATTTTAGAGGTCGTAACTTCTTGTTGTTTTGTATTGATTTTTTTGGTGGCCTTTTTTTACTAACCTCTACTTACCTATTTGTATATATTTTGTTTATAATTAGGATGAATGGTTGAACTATCTTCATCTAGATTAATGAAACAAAATAATTTGTAACTTTGTAATAATTTTCCTATTTCTTTACTAAATACTTTACTGACCTTTAGCTAGATGTCTTGTATATTTGTTATTTTTACTTTTCGTGTTGTGAGGTGTTAGGTATCGATTTTGAATTTTACCTAACTGTGTCTACTTTAAACTAGAAAGAATTTGCTTTATTTTTTTTTTGCTTTACCAGATAAAATGAAAAGCGCACCTTCTCTGCTTGTCACAGGCGCGGCAGCAATTTTTATCCTTCAAATATAAAATGCAAATGTTGCACTAAAAACGTGACTGTAAGTTTGATAGAGTTGCATTTTTATAAAATAATTTCGCAGGGTGGGCATAGAGAAATTTCAAACTTAATTTTATATGATTTATGAAATTTTTTACAAATATGTTCGAATGATGTAGGGATGCTATTTTTTTAATTTATTTCTTCCTTCTAGTTTCTTTACTTGCTGTTGACAATTCTTTGAAGCTGGAGTTTAAACTCTGCCATTGATTGTTTTTGTGGAAATAAAATAAAGAACTTAATTCTTTTTTTATTCGTTTTTTTTTCTACTTCTAGCACTCTTCTGAAGTATTTAGGTACATGTAATAATTGTACATAGATAATCTTCATACGTGCTCGTTTCACCCTATTTCTGTAACAATTTTTTTATTTCTTTTCTCCATCACATTCAATTATGAAAGAAAGTATTTATTGAATTGATGAGAGAAATTAGCCAGAAAAAGTTCTTACCTAGTTTAAGGTAGCCTATTAGAAGTTGTATTTTGCATGTTTAACATAGTAGTCAGTCGTTAGAACAATGATTAGATATACTACCAAATCATATAAAGGAATTTTTTGGATAAACCCCACTGGCTTTACTAACATGCAACCTTTTTCATGTAAGCAGGTTATAAATTCAATAAGCTTTGAGGTTTAGCTTTCTTCAGCATCAGTACTGGAAATAGCAACAACAGTATTCTTCTTCCAATCCCGTTTATTTGAATCCTTATGATGCCTAAGCCATTGTCGGATGGTCTTGAAGCCTGGCTGATTTGATCGCAGGACTTAGTGCATTGGGTACACTCGCTGGAGGTGCATCTGCCATAGCAAGAACTGTTATAGAGGAATATTATTAAATAAATACGTTGCAGATTTTAAGCAAAGAATTTATATTTATCGTTGAAACTGAATCCAGTTTATTATGCCAAAATACATCCGATATATGTATATAATTCCAGTCATCTGTTCGGTAATTGCTTTCACATAAATTTATAATTAATAAATATTACATACTGCTTTGACATCATCAAATAATAGTTCCTTTATTGTATTGGTAGTATCAAAGTAATAGATTATTGTTTGGGTTCTACTACTTCTTGTTTGTGATACGAAAAACCATCGCGTCTCATAGAGAGTGATGTTTTGTTAGTTCGTGGTAATTTACAGAACCTCTGTAAATATTGTAAATGTGTATGATAAAAAAAAAAATAATGTGTGATGCAAAATACAACCGTACAAATTAACTGAAACTTTTAATTAAATTTGCTAACATCTACAACACGGGAAGGCTTAATAAAGAGGTGTTATTTCTACCATTGTTCTGCTAATGAATATTTTACTGCGAATTAATAACAGTAAATGTGTTTTACACCTACATTTTGAAAATATTGTAACCGCAACCAGAATCCAACTAGCTCAAACTCTATTCACCAAGTATCAACCCCAATAATTATTATCTGGTGACATTAATTTTAAAATCTAGGTATCACTCTCTTCTTCCATATATCGTAAAATTTTTATTAGCGGAATAATGGCTGAAGACGCTTCAGAATAATTTACAATTGCTCTTTGCTCGCCGGTTTTATAACAATCCGGAACCTCCCTTCTCTTTATAAAGTACCTCAATAAAGCCTCTAATATCGCGTCTTTTTATTATGTATAAATTGAGATGTGATTTTTTCTTTTTTGGATTAAATCAGTTCAAGTCTATGATACTGGAGAGCAAATAAAGTGGATTGTTTCTCTACTTTATTTGCCCTTCAAGACTATTAAATTTCAACGCTTATACGTCCTGGACTTTATATAGGTAGCCTCCCATTTACTCTTGACTTCCAAACTTTCTATACTAACTAAATATTTATCTATAATTTCAACTTTACTTTTGTGTATTTAATTGTAACTACTATACATAGGTGTTAATTGATTTTTTTGTATTTTTAGATAGACATTGTTTGTGTAAAACTACGTGGAATAATATAACCTTTTGCATTGTGGTGAACAAATGGGATATAACATTGAAACTAAAAATCGATGTTTTCTGTTTTACAGGACGAAATCGAACCAGAGATGGATGAAACTTCGGACCACCGTACAAATATCTTCGGCGATATCAGCAAAAGTAAGTTACTAGTCTAGTTTAACGACTTTTTCCATGCAAATGGGATTTATTTCACACAAAAGTTTACAATGTATATTTTCTGTTTATATCCCTGTCCGATATGCATATACTGGTCTGAGTGTAGTCATAGTCAATACACCGTCTAGTGTCTTAAGGTCAAATGACGTAAATCTAATGGGTTTTTGGGACATTGCCGTGTCCTGTCCTATTTTTCCAGGCTTTGGTATGATATAGCCAGAGTTTGCAGAGTATCCTATGAATACTTAATATTTATTATTTTATATTAGCAAACATACATATATTAAGGTAATCATAACTCTTTCTTTTGGCATGTATTGATTTATTCCCCGTAAATATTTTCCTTACCGTATTCCCTTGCCTTAGGATAATGCTATAACTCATTTTCAGGAACGAGTTTTCATTTAAAGGCAATTTAATCCTTCACAAATTAATTTATCACATAAATTTAAAAATTTGAGGCCCAAAGGCACGCAGATTAATATCTCACTCAAGAGTACCTACAAAATTCCATTTGCTTCAAAATTTTCCGACGGAAGCCCGTCGTAATAGAAAAAGTTTTACTTGGAGTGCAAGAAAATATACGGTTTCCCGGATATAGCACTTTTGGATAACACCGTTTTGGACTTTGCAAAATATTGAGTTCAGCGTATTCGGAATCAATTTTCGAAAGTTTTAAATTTATTGTATTTCTTCTATTGTTAGAAAATCGACAGTTTAAGCCTTACTAATTGTATTTTGTTAGGAATTCAGAATTTAAACGGTTATTCTGGGCATGACTTAATAAATCATAAGACACGGTTTGGTTGTGATTTTGAGTCAAAGGAATTTCACCAGTAGAATAAAATGATATAAGAATGTTCCAAGTGGTGACACCGTTACCGATGGCCAAAAGTCTAATATGCAAAATGGAGCTGAGGTGAAACGCAGTATAGAGGGCGGATACAGGTCTTTTGAAAAAAAAGGGGGGGGGGCAGTTTGGGTTAGTTTTGGCAACGCATTGTGCAAGATACAGTTTTTCGAAGGAATGGCCCATAAAAATATGGGAATGGGGGAACTATTTAGGAGAATAAGGTGATTTTAAATAGGTAGGTACAGGGTGTTTTTTTATATATGGACACCCCACCTACAGCCTTCACCTTTACAGGTAAAAGAAAGGTGTAAATACAAAAGTTGTAGAGTTTTGGCTGAATTTTTAGAAATCACGTCTTACTTGAACAGTTGAACAGCATATTGGTAATTAGATGGCTGCGGAACTCGCTGCGCTCGTCCTGCAGAGGTCCACCCATAAGTTCCGCAACAATCCACTTATTTGTACTTGAACAATAACTTATTATATAAAGTCAGAATTTATAAGATTATCCACGTTTTGTCAATTTGCCTTTTAACAGGAATTATTAATGTTACTTTACCAAACTAGTAATATATTGTGACAAGTTATTCAAGTACAAGCAAGTGGATTGTTGCGGAACTTATGGGTGGATCTAGCCATCTATTCACCAATATGTTGTTCAAGTACAATACTAACCTGATTCACTCAGTTGTGAATTTTTCTCATTAGTTCAAAAACTTCACGTTTCAGGTGAGTGTCTTATTTGAATAGTTCAACAGTATATTGGTGAGTAGATGGCTGCGGAACTCGCTGCACTCGTCCCGCAGAGGTCTACCCATAAGTTCCGCAATAATCCACTTATTTGTATAGGGTGTTTTTTTATATATTGACACCCCACCTACAGCTTTTACCTTCACAAGTAGAAGAAAGGTGTAAAATACAAAAGTTATACAGTTTTGGCTAAATTTTTAGAACCCATGGTCAGAAACAAAATTTGAATATCATAAATGTGAAATTTTGCATGCTTCCAGCTTTTTTCAAATGGGATGCCCTATATTTAATTCTATATTTTTGAAGAGCACAAAGTCCCGATTCCAAAAATATATAGTTTGTCCATATTTGAACAGTCTTTCATATATTCGGCTCCAAAAATTGTAAAAATACTATCCTACTACTGATTTTGTGGTGAAAGTTGCAGGTAAAATTTGAGGTACTTGGTTTCTCTAATAGTATTTTTAAAATTTTTAAAACCAAATATGTTGGAGACGGCTCAAAAAATATAGACAAACTATATAGTTTGGGAATCAAGAAATTGTGCTCTTCAAGAATATAGAACCGAATACAGGGCATCCCATTTGAAAAAAGCTGAAAGCATGTAACATTTCACATTTCTGACATTCAATTTTTGTTTCTGACCATGGATTCTAAAAATTTAGCCAATACTTTACAACTTTTGTATTTACATCTTTCATCTACTTGTAAAGGTGAAGGCTGTAGGTGGGGTGTCAATATATAAAAAAACATCCTGTACTTGAACAATAACTTGTTATATAAAGTCAGTTTGTGAGATTATCCACTTTTTGTCAATTTGCCTTTCAACAGGAATTAGTAATGTTACTTTACCAAACTAGTAACATAATTGACAAGTTATTCAAGTACAAACGAGTGGATTGTTGCGGAATTTATGAGTGGACCTCTGCGGGACGAGCGCAGCGTGTTCCGCAGCCATCTATTTATCAATATGTTGTTTAATTAAGATACTAAACTGACTCACTCAAATGTCAGTTATTGTCATTAGTTCAATAACTACAAGTTTCAGGTGAATGTCTCATTTGAACAGTTCAACAGTATATTGGTGATTAGATGGCTGCGGAACTCGCTCCGCTCATCCCGCAGAGGTCCACCCATAAGTTCCGCAACAATCCACTTATTTGTACTTGAACAATAACTTATTATATAAAGTCAGAATTTATAAGATTATCCACTTCATGTCAATTTGCCTTTAAACAGGAATTATTAATGTTACTTCACCAAACTAGTAATATATTGCGATAAGTTATTCAAGTACAAATGAGTGGATTGTTGCGGAACTTATGGGTGGACCTCTGCGGGACGAGCGCAGCGAGTTCCGCAGCCATCTAATTACTGTTCAAGTAAGACGTGATTTCTAAAAATTCAGCCAAAACTCTACAACTTTTGTCATTTGCCATCTATTCATCAATATGTTGTTTAATTACGATACTAAACTGACTCACTCAAATGTGCGTTATTCTCATTAGTTTGAAAATTACAAGTTTCAGGTGAATGTCTTACTTGAACAGTTCAACCATAGACTTAACTGCCCAGCATTTGACATCTATGTTGCGAGGCTGACGTACCACGTCCCACTAGGAATCCCTACATATTTGAAAATTTCAAATTCTCATAGTAGCTTTATTAAATTTTACTTATTTCTGTTGAGAGTTAAGCAATAATTGCTATTTTATACTCTGTTATCTAGTCTAGAATAAAATACTTACAAAGTTTAAAACTAATTATCTTACCTAGCTTCTCATTAATTTTCATGCGGGGAAATAATTTCACTAACATAGTTTGTGAACTGATAAGCCGCTTAGAAAACGCGTTTGTTAAAGCTCTAGAATAATTAACGATGGATTAACTTTAATTATTTCAAAGAAAAAATTCAGCTAACTGATTTTGTAATATATCCATATTAGCTAACAATACATATTTCAAAATCATGAATTCCCAACAACCAACACAATCGGTTGTATTGACTAATGAGCGGTGCATTACACCAAAGATAATACACTCGTTTCCCTTTCTCTACATCCGTACAAAAGCCTGACAGTTTCACTCTAGAATAGGATAATAACAATCAACTTTAGGTATGCCGCAGTATTCTGCTCCACTTCAATTCTCTCGTTCCAGTTTCCACCGCAAATTTGCTAAATTGAATGAATGGAAAGGAGATTTATAATTAAACGAAAATAATCGTTACGGCCATTTTCTGCGGGCAACCGTGAGATGAACACTTGCCAAGTTTCGGTTCTGGATAGTTTATAGTTTAGAGAGGTGACGTAAAATTAATTGTGGTATTTTGGAGAAGTTCAATCGGAGCGGAAATTAGGTTAATTCAAAATACTGCAGAAATAAGTGCCTTGAAGAAAAACACCGAGTGGAGTTTTCTTCTCATATTCTTGTTCTGATGCTAAGTTGTACTGGACTGCGTCATGTATTTGTTTATATATATATATATATATATATTGTCAAAAATTAAATTGGTTTTTTGATTAAATGATCTTGATGGCTCAGAATTTCGAGGAGAATATAGATATAAAAAAAGACAGATGGATTTTCTTTTAAAGCTCCATTGACACTAGGATATAGCTCAGTTTTCTCAATTATATTCCCGGGCTTTTAGTAATGGGAAACTCCGCCAAGGTATTTCTTATTAAACTCGAAAATTTATACCGCTATAAATCGCCTGCTAGTATATTTTCAAGCGAAATTTCTGAGAGTATCTTCAAAACAACGCAATGTAATTCTTATATAATTTAGGGAATAATTTTGAAAGGCAAATTAGGTAATTTCTCCTTAGAACAATAATAATTGGATTCACGGATTAAACCTTATAATTTGAATATTGTTTAACCTTTTTTTCTGCGTGAAATTTAATTCTATGAGGCTCTAATCCTTCGTCCACAAACAATATTCCACAAACCAATGAACAAATGTTATAATAAAACTAATTTCATTTTAATTTTTTTGTCGATATACTTATGTTGTTTCAGAAACCTCAGTTGAAGCGTGAGGATTCATTTTTGAAGCGTTTCTCGACGAGGCAAATACCAGAAGTGCAAGAAACCGTAGAAGATACTGGTAGTGAAGGCTGTGCAGGTAAACAACGTTCTACTAATGTTATTTTGATTTTAATAATATAATTTACGCATTTGATTTTTATGTTCAATGATTTTTGACATGCATTCGTAGTAGACGAAGTATAAACTCATAATTTTGTCTTATATTTCAGGTGACAATAGACCACCACGACGAAGAAGAAAACGTTTGCGGCAGCCGCGTAGTGTAGTGAATCCCGATTCGAACTTTTATTTTTATTGGTTGTTTGTGTTGACGATTTGTGTGTTGTACAATATGTGGACGTTAATCGTTAGACAAAGTTTTCCTGAACTACAGGTAAGAATAGAAATTTTATATTTCGTCCCGCTCTAGTTATTATTCGTGAAAGCAGTTCTATTTAATATTACACTGTCGTCAACATAAATTTTAATTATTTTACAGAGGACCATAACATGAATTTAAATCGACTTCAAAATTTAGTGGAGCTTAATTTTCTATTGAGTTCCGGTGCAGTATTTTATGGCTAACGTGATTTCAATTAATAATTTTATTTTGATAAAAACACACTAACAACTTGATTAATATTGGATGAATATAGCTATTTATACAATAAGTTGCGAAATGAGCGTCTTTTAGGCACGCGACGTGAAAATTGTCCAACGAGGCAAAGCCGAGTTGGACAACACATTCATGGTGGTGACTAATATTCATAATAAATACAAAACAAAATTCAAATCTGTGTTTAGTGTGTTTTTTATTTCTGAACAATGAATGACACTTTTAGGCACTAGTGCTTAAAAGTTACTTTTACGCATTTGAAAGTCACTTCTACGCACTTGAAAGCCACTTTTACGCACTGAGTGCTTAAAAGAATGTTGTTTTAAAACTAAAATGACAATCGAACGTCAGTAGAAAAAATATTTTTCTTTTATTTCGTGTCCTATTATAACATTCAAAATGTAGTAGGTATATTTAATTGCAAATATTTAGTTAAATTTTATATCCGCACTAAAATGATTATAATTATCATCTAAAACATACATATTTGTGTATTATTTGATATTTAGTATCACAATAATTGCTTTAATTAACGTAAATTTATGCTCATTTCATAAATGAACCAACAATAATAGTTTAATTAAATTGTGAAATACTTGGGAGGATAAATTAAATACCTATCAAAATTATCCACCTCTTCCGAGGGAGTTACTGTGAGAAAAACCTATACGCTGAATAAATTTGCAGTAATTCAACAGTATTTCACTTCTGTTTAGTGTGAGGGTTGTCACATACACTCTGTAAACTCTACTTAAATCTTCAACATGATGTTCACAACTAAAGTCGATATGAATAGCATTCGTTATTCGAGAATTTTGCTTTAATACAGTAAGCAAAATTGAATTTTAATAAATGTAAGAGAAAAAATATCATAACATAGCAAAAACTGAAAACATTTCTTAATGTCAGCCAATGGACAAGCACAAAATACTGTTTCAGTGGATATATACACAATATTAACAGCTAATTTTGTCATCGGACTTCAGTCAGATGCGATAAAAGCTATAAAAATGAGAGCAAAGCAAGAGAAGCTTTTAGTCAGAATATTAGGGCACTTTTATTCGATTGGAAGTGGTAAAAGGGCCAAGTTACGTACGCTAACCTTGAGTTTGATAATTATTGTAATTAAAGAAGTCCATTAGAGTATGTACTAACTATTTTCATTGTTCTAGGAAATGCTTTCTACCTTTTGGCTCACCTGTGATTCTTTAAGTGACTTGGTTTTTTTATTTGACCTGGCTGTACAGTTTAGGACAGGATATTTAGAACAAGGTAAATTCTTTGGCACTAGTTTGATACGGTGTTCCATATAATATAATATTATACATATTATGTATTCAGGTTTGATGGTGTACGATTCTAAAAAACTGGCCTGTCATTACCTTCGCTCACGTGCCTTCTTGCTGGACCTCACTGCGCTGTGTCCAGTAGACCTGCTTCAATTGAGGTTCGGCCCGAACCCTCTACTGAGGTGTCCTAGATTTTTAAAAGTAAGCATTCACTTCGATTGATGAAGTTCGTTTTAATGAGTGTATTGTAGGTATACAGGGCTGTCAACTATTACTATATGGTAGAATCGAGAACGGTATGGCCGAATTTGTGGAGAGTGGTCAATCTCATCCACATCTTACTGATTCTTGCTCACTGGTTTGGTTGTTTTTATTTTTTATTATCGGAGGCGGAAGGGTTTCAGGTAAATTTAAGCTATTTTTAAGAAGTACATAATGATAAGTCTTATTTATTTTATTAAATTCGCCTTTGACGATATCCTGATGGGCTTCAGAGCTGTGCGGTACTCGGGTACGGTACGAGTACTCTTCACTTGTACTTTAAGTATATTTTTAGTTACTCGGTACTCAGGCCAAGATACTTTCTGAATCGCGTACTTGTACTCGTACTTGGTCTGCTTAAGAATATAGAAAATAGGTACCCGGTACTTTTTAATGTACTGAGTAATTTTCAAAATACCCGCGTACATGCGTTTTTACTCAAATATATTTGTTATACCCGGGTATTTTCATTTTTTTCGAATACATTTGCAGTTGGTGAGTAAAATTATTGGACTCTGAGTAAATACATATTTATTTGGCCACAAGTACATTTCCAGAGAAGTTGAGATCTGACATTAGGTCTGTTTCAACACGTCAAAAACCGTCCCATGAACGGTTTCGAAACCACTCAGTGAACGAATTTCAGTTTCTACGCGCAAATTTTACAGTTTGCGCAGAATCATGTAAATTGTACGGTTTCCTCCTGTGTTGGAACAGACCTATTATGTTACGGTTACGATATGACCAATTTTCAGCCATTTCTTGTTTAGCATCAGATGCTTAGCATGCGTTCCATTATAGTTGTGATTTGCAAACAAAAATTTTGAACTTTTCTGTGCACTGTGACATTGTGTCTGTGTCCATAAATTTACAATAATTATCAAAAGCTACCTTGAAGCACAACCCAAACACGGTCATAAGCAACCCAATTGCAAACCCATAAAGCACATCTTATGATTAGGATTTTGGAAAACTTTGAAAGGTCATAACTTTTTTTCCATTATAGATAGAAAGCTGAAATTTTCACTGAATTTTATCTCAATAAAAAGAGGTTATTTGAGATTCCGAACCCAAGGGCTTCATTTTCGAAAAAATCAGCTTTGAATCTTTTGTGAAATTTGAGACAAAGTTTTGACTTTGAGCCTCAATATCTCCAGAAGTATTTAAAATAGAACGCATGGAAATTTGATTTTGAAATATTTCAAAGGGCCATATGGGTGAAGCTATGGGCATGAATCTTTTGCCCAATTGTAACTCTTGAGAAGGGCTATAAAAAAGGTTATTTGAGATTCCGAGCTCAAAGGCTTAGTTTTCAAGAAAATCAGCTTTGAATCTTTTGTGAAATTTGAGACAAAGTTTTGACTTTGAGTCACAAGTATTTGAGATAAAGAATTCAATCTTATTCTATCTTGAAGCTAATTTAATTCTGATTCAAAATATATGATTATACATCATAAAATGTGCAGTTATAACCGAATAATGAGTGGTTTAGTAAGACAATGTCAAATTATTGAAATTTTCTGAGCTCAAAAACTGCAAAAATCGTTTTTATTTTTCTACAAGCTCTAAAACCCAGAGAACAAAGTTGCGTTAATGCTTTTCCACTAATTTTCACCTCCTCTTTCGATTGGTTTGGTAAAGTCAAAAATTGCAAATTCCAAAAATTTCAAAATTCAAATTTTTCCAAAGGGCATGCATGGGAATTTGATTTTCAAATATTTCAAAGGACCAAAATTGGAAACCAGTGGAGCTATCGGCATGAATCTTTTGCCCACTTGTAGCTCTGGAGAAGAGCTATGAAAACGGTTATTTGAGACTCCGAGCTCAAGGGCTTCGTTTTCAAGAAAATCAGCTTTGAATCTTTTGTGAAATTTGAGACAAAGTTTTGACTTTGAGCCTCAATATCTCCAGAAGTATTTAAGATAGAGAATTGAATCTTATTCTATCTTAAAGATAATTTAATTCTGATTCAGAATATATAATTATACATTATAATTTGTGCAGTTATAACCGAGTCCTCATAAACTCTGTACTCTGGATAACCAAATCAAACTTCAAAATTGCTGCATTCATTTAGTAAACCAAAATGTGTTTTTCAATTTTTGAGGTGTGAACTTTTATACCGGCGGTTTGATGGTAAATTTCGGGAAATGTGACGGAAAAGTGAAAGGGGAGGTGACGTTATAACCCATGTGCAATGCTAAATTCGCAGCTACCTCAGCGCTTGCAGCCTATGAGGATTCATTAGATTTCCATGATAGATCAAGGCTGTTTAAAAGAGGACGTTGCGTAATAACTTGTACCTATAACATCATTGGGTAGGAATGCAAGGTGGTATTAGAATGTATTCATAAATGTACACGGTACTTTGAATATTTGGGTATTAAATACTTGTAATTGTACTCTGTACTCGAGAACATTCTACGCTAAGTACTTGTACCCGGTAGCCGAGTACATATTGCCTGTACTCGAAACACCTCTGACTATGCTACGCCCGGTCGCCTATACATCTTCTGGTCTAAAATTGAAACCCTTTCCAGCATAGACCATGAGCGGCCATTACTGCTCTAAACCCCCTTCCATGTGAAAGCTATAGCTACGTCGTTGTTCCTGAAATCAAAGAAACCCTTATTAACCTTCAATAACAAAAATTCCTCGGGCTATGATGACATATCCATAAAACTATTACTCCTTAACCACAGGGGTTTTCTTGTGTTTGGAGATGCAATAAATGATTCCTTTGACAAGGGTATATTTCCTTATACCCTTAAGCATGCAGTGGTTGTACTTCTTCACAAAGGCAGAGACTCAGACTGTCCAGCAAATTTCCGTCCTATTCCTCTTCTTCCTTCACTTGAGAAACTGGTCAAAATTGGAGTTCTTTCATTCCTCAATCTAAACAGGTCCCTCTCGGATATTCAATAACTTCTAGTGTGGCAAAGCAACATCTGATTCAATATTTCTCCTGGAAGATACCTATTTGAGTACAAATGAGAATCACCTTTCACTAGCGGTGTCTTGTGATTTGTCCAAGGCTTTCGACTATGTTGATCATTTTGTGTTGCTCCGTAAGTGTATGGTTTTAGAGGTGTGACTCTAAATTGTTTTCAGTCGAACTTAAGTGATCGTCAGCAGGTAGTTTCATACAGGGGTGAGTTTTCGGATAAAATGAGCACCAACTGCGATATGCTTCAGGACTCTATCCTTGGCTCCCTTCTGTTCTTGATCCATACTAATGATGTAGCCTCTCTTAAGGTCGGGGGAAGTATTAAACTTTCGGCTGATGAAACTTCAATTGTCTGGCATTCAAACTGTAGAGAATTATTGGAGCGCATGATCATTGTCGATTCAGATTTGATGAAAACCTGACGAACAATCTATCCTTCAACATATCTAAGACCAATATGTCCAGCTTTAAATCCAATATCTCCTTATGAGGTGATTTCATTCATCCCACTGTCTGTGCTAAGTTTCTTGTAGCTACAGTGAACGAGAGCCTCAAGTTTGAACAGCATATTGTGGCACTCTCTAATAGGTTATCATCTAGCTGTTATGCTTTGAGAGTACTCCTAGAGCAGTTAGAGCTGCGAGCTCTCAGGACCGCATATTTTTTTCTGATGGAGTCACACAGCTTATAGAATTGTATTTTGGGGCTGTTTCTGTACTAAAAATTTCAACTCCATCTTTATTTTACAAAAAATAGCCCTTAGGTTTATGCTTGCAAACCTAGCTTCATTTCTTCTAGAATTTTAACTGTGCCATGCTTATATACACTCGAAAGTGATTGCCTAGTCTATAGGAAATACTATAACCAACTTTCTTCAGCAAGGCACTATTCTACTAAGCAATCTAATAATATTCCACTGCCAATTCCCAGAAGCACCATGGTGAAAAAGTCCTTTGTTTATTTTGCCAAAAAAGCTTTCAGTTTTCTACCATCTAGCGTTAAGTTTTCACGTTCATACGCGAGGTTTAGAAAATGGGTAAGGGATTCTTGACTATACCCTAATATAATGTTGAAGAATTCTTTGGACACACCGTGTAAACCTTTTTAATTTGATTGAGTACGTTACTCAAGGAATCAGAACGAATGATTGATTGTAAATATTCTATCATTTTCATCATTTATCGATCGATCGAGTTGATGAATTTTTGGAGCTCCTTAAATAATGCATTCAGATAATGGTGAAGAGTTTCCAAATGCTATATATCTGAACTTTGTCAAATGTGGAATGGTGTTAGAATTGTGCTTCATTCAAAATATGTTTGCAACTTTGATGAAGAAGAACGGTTGTAGAATATGATCTGAATAATTAAGATTTGTCTAAGCATCTAACGTGATGGCATTAAGGGTTGACTAATGAGGATGATCTTTCTAATGACATTCTATCCCACACATTGCTGAGTCTAAGAAGAGAGAAAGATCTTTTTCATGATATCGATCTTCAAGACAATAATAATTACACGCCCGCATTGAGGAACCTGAAATAAATAATGACGGTTTCACTGAACTTTGGAGATTCTTTGAATCAAATACGCAATAGCGACAACGAACATTAAAAGTGGTGCTACTGCCCAACCTCTCTTACCTGAAAAAAACCAGGAAATGGAAGAGGATTAAGATAGACTGGGTATACTGATTTTATACAAATAAAATAATTTTCAATTAAAGGGCGACTGGGTGTATCCTTACCGGCCTGGAGACTACGCCACTCTAACAAGAAAATATCTCGGCTCCCTGTACTGGTCAACATTGACTTTGACTACTATCGGAGATTTGCCCACACCCGAAACAAATGCAGAGTACGTATCCACCATAATTACAAAAAAACTTTAAAATCAACTTGTTGTTATTATTGTTAGAAAGACGACTTCGGTGGACGGCCCTCGGTCGCTGCCGCGCAGAGGGGTAAAATCTCGTCTACTGCAGTTCAACACCAGTAACGGGTAAACATTTTTTTTCAAAAAACATATTGCACGACACCCCCGAAAGTCACGACACTGGCAGCGGCAGAGGCCGAGGGTCCATTGCTCTCTGCAAGCGATCACGTAGTTTGTCGAGACTGCACCTAGAGTTTCACTTCTTTTTTTTTTTTAATTTGTTTTACCGAAGAAAATTGAATTTAAACTACTTTGCTGTTTTGTGCTTTTGCTGGACAGATTTAGACCCTGCCGCTGCCACGTACCAAAATGAACTATTGTTCGCTTATTGTTTTATTTAGGGTTTATTTATTTTGTCTGATTAGAATGTCTTAAGTTAATTTTGAAATAAAATAAAAGCGCTGGGTCTTTTTTTGTTTTTAATATTTTCACAAAAATAATTATTTTATTTCAGGTATATTTTCACAATAGTTAGCTACTTAATAGGAGTATTTATATTTGCGACGATCGTCGGTCAAGTCGGAAATGTGATAACCAATCGAAACGCCAACAGACTGGAATTCGAACGTCTGCTGGACGGTGCCAAAACCTACATGAGACATCATAAGGTAAAGCTCATATAAAAACTATATTTTTATATCTTCGATGAGTTTTATGCGTTCATTTATATTCTCTAGACATCTTTCGCCAGTAACTTCCCAGTGGTTATTACGTTACATGTTTGCGTTTCGTCGTAAAAGATGTCGAAACGCAATCGCTATAGTGTATTACGTGATATGGAAATAAATTATCTAATAAGCTACCAGACTTTGGCCAGTTGAAGTTGTATGAGGGAAATATTATAAATTTTATTGAAAGGGGCGTTATTTATGATTTTAATATAAGTGTGGAGAGAAAATTCTGTCAATTGAATATCGACTTCTTTGCATGAGGATAGTGTAAAAAGGTATCGCCCTGTCAGGTCATTGATTCAGTCTAATTATGAAGTAACAATTGTTTCTTACAGAAAACACATCTCTAGATGAGAAGATGCCTAATCTCCATTCCAGTCATTTTAACTTTTACTTCTTTTTCTGAAGCCAACTGAGGTTTAGAGGGCGAAAGGATTCAGACTTCGTCTTCTTAACAGTACAGTACTACAACTGTAAGTCTGTGTCTTCTTTGAAAAGTTGTTGAGATGAGTTGCTGATAATCTATTATAGCGAGACACATCTTTGGGAATCCCTTCTGGGATTTCAACTTGTGGAACTTCTATCCACTGTAAGATACTTGTAAGGATAAATACAATTTCACAAGCACTTGATGGTTGTCTAGTGAAGCATGTTGCAAATCAATTGAAATTTGTGACATTAAGACAAGATAACCTATTTAGGGTCGTGGAATTCAAAAAATTAAGATAACGTGTAGTCCCTTTATGTGTAAATGAAACCACTCAAAATCCAACAAAAAATTATTTTATTTTGTTTACAATGTTATATAGTAACAGTAAATGTTACTTTCTGTAAAATTTTAGTGTTGACAGCTTGGTTTTTCCGGTGAATCTGATACCTTTCCAATCCGGAGCTCTTCAATTGGTGTTGGGGCTTCACTTTCGTGAACTGGAGCTCTTCGTGTTGTTTCCTGTATCCAGGAAGAGAATAGATTGCTGGGGTGATGTTACTCCAGCTGATGCAGACTCTAAACAGTGATCTTTATGTGGAGTAGGTACCCAGAAAAGAATAAGGCAGTATCAGGTTCACCAATATTTGAAATATTAAATTCCTGAATTCTGTCAAAAAGTGAGTGTCTTGCAAAGGAAATTGAAATTTAATATAAAACTATTGTTTTACACACACTCCTTTCCAACAGAATCAGGTACGAACAGCTATTGCAAATTTAAAAAAAAATACTTTTATATAAAAAAAAATACAATTAAATAATTGAAAATAATGGTAAGATAATAGTAAAATTAAAATAATAACAGCAAGATTGGAGCACGGCCAGCTTTTCTGAAACACCTTGTATATGCAAAAGTGAGTTTTTCAAAAAATTTAATTTCAACCATAAAACTATTATTTGGGACACTTTTGTCTAAAATGTCAAATAAAAAAGATAGAGGGGGTGACATTTATAACCAATAACCCTGTACCTATTTATTAGTCCAGTCTGAATTGACTTACCTCAGAAAAACGTGGCACAACCAATCAGCACTCATACAAAATGGAAGCACACAATAGGGTAGTGGACAAGGTATGAATTTAATGAAATCGATGATCTATTCTTCATCTATGAAGTAAATAAAAAATATTCGTGTTAAAAGAAATTTCAGAAAAAATTACTAACTTTGTTTAAAACGGTTGTAAAAGTAGAGTTTTGGGACACATTATTTAAACGAAAATATTTCGCGCCTTGATTTTACGTCATAGCTGTTGTATTCGAATATGAAATGAATCAAACCTTCGTCTTATATTCGACACACACTTACTCATTGGTGCAAAAAAGAGAGAAATATCAGCGTCATTACCTTGGTGCACCTTCAACTTAACCACACTTTTTGAAAGAGTTTCATTTGTCAATCAGAACAGTCTGAGTTTATCTGCATCTTTTTCTGAAAGCAAGTAAAATATAAGGACGCGTAGAGCGCGTCGACAACGCGTCGACACAACAGCTATGACGTAATTTCCGGGCGGTAAATTATAGAGTTTAAAATAAGTACAAATTTGTTAATTTTTTTTAGGGTTTATTTTTGTTTTCTATAATCAAAGAATCATCAATTACTATTTATTTTGTTATGGAGAATAATAAAAAAAATATTTCGAAAAATTGTCCACTACCCTATTAGAAAAAAAAAAATTAAAATATAATATTTATATTTCAAGAACAGATAAGATAAGATTTATCAGGTAAAAACTTAACAATGATATGATAATATGCTTCGATTAGCAAAATATATTGAAAAATCTATGAGGGAGAATCCAAAAATATAAAGCAAAAATTATTAAAAATAAAAAGGACTTGCCTGCTAGACCTACTGTCGAGAAAAGAGAACGTCTTACAAACCAAACCCCACAGGAAAACAATCCTGTGTTTTTTATACTTAACTGCGTTTTAACCAGTTCAACCAATCAGACGAATACTCCCAAAAGATCATATTCACTTTACAATGAAATCACAATAAAAATCCACTAGAATTATTTTAATTGTTCACAAATTATAATAATTTAAATTAGGGTTATGTCAAAAATAAAAACACTGTTAATTAATTAGGTCATTAAGCCAAAAAATGATTATTTCAGAATGAGAAGTTAGAGAAAGACAGAAATATATCCATTTGCTAAAAGTGAGATAAATATAATTTCTTTCAATGAAAATACAAATGAGTGTCAAATGCGAAATAATTAAAATCATACTTTGAAAAATAAATCCATCAGGTACTAGATGGCAGTACCTTCATTTAATAGATATTCACATTTTACGCACATGATGGATAAATGGCAGCACTTGTATTATTTTGAACTTTGTGGATATTTTTAGAATATTAGAAATTATTATTTTGCTCATTCTGAAATGGAAAAAAAATACAACTTTATAATGAAAATAAGAAGAGATGGAACATGTTACGTTAATGATAAGTTTATCGTAACAAGCACTAGCTGTAAATGGTGTTTTGCTGAGTTTTGGTTCACCCATTGTGATACTCTGGTTCAATTCAGTGCACCCTACTTTCAATATTTTTTTTGATTCCAGAGATACACAATTATCTTTATGAAAAATTACTAATCCTTATATTTAAATTGAGTTTTAAGCTTAAATCATGTGGCGCCCCATTCGTAACGCAACCTACTCTTTCTGAGATACTGGTGATTACTCGTTAATCTTCACCACTCACTAGACTTTGACTGTCATTTATTTGTAATACTTTATTTTATTTCAAATTATTATCCTTTCTTAAATTAGGGGATAGAGTAGCACCTTTTATTTGCCAATCTTGCTCAAGTTTGTTGAGCAATTGAATGCAATTAGATGAAAAGTTATATAACTACAAAGTAGGATAAGTTTGGTTTAACTAGCCCAAAAGGTGTGAAGGTGCGAGTCTTAACTCACAACGTCCATGAGAATGATGGAATAAGATAATACATTGGTGTACAGGATTGCCGTTACCTTTTCAGGTATTTTGTGCATGACCCTGCTTCACTTGAAGTTTAAAATTTGTAGGCTTTGTCCTAAAAACAATCTTCTTGTAAGCAGGTAGACGTTATATATGTTCATTTTGAGAAGTTGCTCAAATTCATTTGCCTGTCTCAGACTCCGAGTGGATCTCCAATGAGTTGGCATCTGGATGTTTTCCCATGTATTTAGATCTTCCATTGAGTGACTCATCATATTCCACAGAGTGCCTTCGGGATTTGGGAAAGTGGTATAGTATTTGCTTTGCGAGAAAATCTGATCCCAAGTCGGAGGTTGCTGAGACAATGTTGAGATTAACACATTGCTTCTTCATCAATATTTTCTATGAAGTAGACTTTATAAAATTTTACTATTTTTTACGGTTAATATGAAAAACTATTTTAGAATGTTGTACTTAATTGTTTCTCTTCAAATCTTATACAACAAAACTAAATTAATTATCTCTTTTAAGGTTCCAGGAGGAATGAAACGAAGAGTACTGAGATGGTACGACTATTCCTGGTCAAGAGGAAGGATACAGGGCGGGGGAGATATCAACACGGCCTTAGGTCTCCTGCCCGACAAGCTCAAGACCGAATTAGCTCTTCATGTCAATTTAAGCGTTCTCAAAAAGGTGAACATTATTTTATTAATTGTTAAAGTGATTATAAAAGGCCTTCTGTCCTCAAAGTCACTTTTAATGATATTAAAAGTGAGAAACTCCAGACTCCAAATCGCTTTTTAATTTCTTCCACAATGAGCCAAACATAAAGAAGTGGAAAAACAGCTGCCTGGGGGGCAGTTTCACCTTACCTGAACAATTTTACGCTTATCGACTTTTATATTCTCGTTTTTTCTTCCTGTGTCGCATTTCACCTTATTAGGAAACTTTAAATTGGGACGACGAAGGGAGTTTATTTTTCTATGAAGTTTTTTACGTTTGTCATAAAAAAATTACATTGAGAAAATAAAGATATGCATTAGATCCAGGCGAGATAATTGGATTAGCTTGAAGAATAAAACATTTCTCACGTTACTGATGATAGTTTTGTTCGAAACTTAACAAAAATAGGTACCATTTGATTGGGAAATAGCTGTTGAAGAGACAAAGATATTGAAAAGGATTATAAATCTTTTGAAGAAGCGCTTTCTTCTCATTTTCAATGCGTCCAAGAGGTGCCCTCATTGACAATTCGTTTTTTAAATGTTATCTGGTAGAAGTCTTCCATAATGCGCAATATTTCTTTACTACTGGATGAGTTATTTTCTTGCCAGGTTGTTCATCACTCCATAATTAAAATATGTTTGCTTAGGTAACGATATTTCAAGAGTGCCAACCAGAATTCCTCAGGGATTTAGTTTTAAAAATGAAAGCCTACATTTTCACACCTGGTGACTCAATATGCAGAAAAGGCGAAGTAGCCAGAGAGATGTTCATCATCGCCGATGGTATCTTGGAGGTTATCAGCGAAGCAGGCAAAGTACTGACTACAATGAAAGCTGGAGATTTTTTCGGGGAAATAGGTATCCTTAACTTGGATGGCCTCAACAAGTAATATTCAATTAAAATTATTTTTTGCTTGCAAAATCAACCAATGTTTTTTAGACGCACTGCAGATGTAAGATCAGTAGGTTACTCGGAACTATTTTCTCTATCGAGAGAAGATGTTCTAGCAGCTATGAAAGATTACCCGGAGGCGCAAGAGATTCTACAAGCATTAGGAAGAAAGCGCCTGATGGAGGTAATGTAAATACATTAGAATTTGCACAATTACACACACTTGGTTTAAGTATCACACCATTTCTTCTTTTGCTATTTCTTGCTGTCCTTTTCCAACTAAATATTGTCCTGCTACCTCATGCACCCGTTCCCCTTTCAACTTCCGACTCTTAAGCGTTGCTTCGTAGTGGTTGGAAAGAAATAATCGACACGCTGTTCACATCTACAGCTTTTGCAGGTCAAAGCTAGCGCAAAACACCCGCCCCATCACAAGAGCGATCACCATCACCACCACGGGCAAGACACCAAAGGCCTAGTGGACAAAATTAAAAACGAGGCTAAGGTAAGTACAGAAATTTTGCTTTGAATGACAATAGCATGCCCTATATATAAATTGCACACGTTATTGTTTTATGAAAAGCAAAAAGCATAAATGTTTTAAAAATTCAATTCTCATAAATCGTGTGTTAGGGTTTGAAAAACGCCCTAAGAAAATCCCGGACTCATTATCGTCGTTCGGACGAGAGCCTAGAGTTGCAGCCACTTCAGCCTCATTCCGGCCCCCAGGGCCCCAACAACAACGCCGCTTCCAAGGGCACGCTCAAGAGGATGTCGAGGTGAGCTAGCGTATTCTAATTACTTACTTTTAGTACGCAGACGACAACTGGGTTAAGTTCGGGGACTTACGTAACTACTAGAATTTCCATGAGAATTAAAACTGTTGTTTTGTTTGATGTGTTTTCAAATTATTTGTTTCTAATTTAGCTGTTATGTTTGCTTAACAGATAAATATTAATGGTATTTTAGAGTAAAGTCGCACGATTTGAGTCAGGATCATCCATCGGAAATCGATAAGAGCGACAGAAAAGAAAGCATAGTACCAGAACAGGAAAAAACACATTCGGTGTCACCTTTGGGAGCTGGTCTACCTCTACTACAAAGACTGAGGCATGAACATCAAAATTCTATTTGATAATAATATTAAACTTTTTCGCCTTTTCTTAGGCTGCTTAAAGAAAAACAAGAAAAAGAAGAAAAAGGTGGCGGCCTAACTCAAACTTCACCACTATTGTCTCCCCAATCCACCGCCATTCGATCTCCGCCAATAGTCGAAGAAACGTCGTTAACGGAAGAACCAGTCGGCGCTGGATTGCCGCTTCTTCAACGGATACTGATGCTAAAAGCCAAAGAAGAAAAGTCAACAAAAGCCGCTAAGACCGGCGTCGGAGGGCACAAACCCTTTCTGAGTAGTATAATAAGTAAATTCAAAAAAATATATATAATAGTAATAATAATTTTGATAAAGATTTTCACGCCACAGGTAGTACACCATCCATTCCACCGACGACCGCTCCAGTTGGAACCCAAACGACGGCGGTTCCTAGAGGGTCGATTTCAGGTCCCGCGAATAATGCCTTAGCACCCGTTCCAGCCAAATTACTTAATAATAAAGTATCATTTAGGTAAGTCATGTTAGGGCCAGTATTTCAATGTTACTTTGAAATCAAGACTCAGCGAAGGTATCAGTTTCTTTAGGTGAGTCTAGTATGTATCGTGAACTGGTGTTGGTCTTTATGATATGAAAACTTTGCAACTGATTTGATTTGGAAGGAAGTACGTAGACGCTGTGCTATTCCCCTTTTAGTGCAGCCCTGTCTTACCTTAGGAGCCCCTTTTACGAAAGGCGCAGCAGGTCGGACATGCTTTAATGCATCTGGTTGCAGAAACCTGAACCCAAAGTATCGTAGTCTGCGATTGACCAGGGCGTCACATTCGCAGACCATATGCTTGGTAGTTTCATTTATTTCGCTGCAGAACATGCATTTTATTCCATTACTGAGTCCGATTTTATGAAGGTGGTATTTGGTCACTCATGGACGCCTGTGATGACTCTTAGTTGGCTCTGGTTTAATTTTAGGAGTTTGCACAAGGTCCCTTGTATAACGCCTCTTTGATCCAGCCATCCGTCTTTAAACTGACTTCAAATGACTGCTGGACTGGTCCGGCTTCGCAAGTGTCACATTCAAAAGTATAAATTTTCGAATGTGGTAGTTTGTGATTCTTCAAATCGCCTTTTCGTGTAAATTTTGCTTTGCAAATGTCACATTCAATAAAATAAACATCCGAATGTGTTAATTTGTGATTCTTCAATTGGTATTTACGTTTAAATTTTGCTTTGCAAGTGTTACATTCGGAAGAATAAATATCCGAGTGTCTCAGTTTGTCATTTTCCAAATCGCCTTTCCGTTTAAATTTTGCTTTGCAAGTGTCACATTCAAAAGGATAAATATCCGAATGTATTAATTGGTGATTCTTTAAAACGCCTTCCCGTTTAAATTTTGCTTTGCAAGTGTCTGAAGGAACTGGTTCCTTATCTGGGTTTTCACCAGGCAGGAAGCAAGTGCAAGCTCTGGCTTAATAAAGGTAGTTTTGATACCTTCACGAGCCAGCTGATCCGCCTTCTCGTTTCCTTGACACGGTACTCAAATAAGAGTGACCTTGCTGAGCCCCCCTGACACCAGCGTGAGCCTTGAGTTGACCTTGTCTGAGCAAAGGGTTCGGAATACTGCCTGACTGTCGCTGCATATGTAATAAATATGCTTGCCCGAGTAACTTCTCTGGAGATTATCCTGAACACACACCTGTAGGGCATAGATTTCCGTCTGGTATAGCATTGGGTATTGATTCAGTGCAAGACTGCTTCTCCATACATACCAGCCCCTGCACCTTCTCCCATCAGTGTATTATCTAGGAGGGGCTGAGGTTTTTGGCAATGCATCCCTTTTGGTAATAAGGCAGTCCTGTCTGATAGTATCAATCAGTCCAAGCCCTTGCATGTCCCATGAAATGAAAACTTTGCCTAAATATTGAGAATAACTGGTAACAATTTTTTCAGGGATAGAATAAAAATGCACACAACCTCCAAAGAAAAAGATTCGACCATCAAAGATTCGCTTCTCAAAGACAGCGAACCGCCTGCCATCACCGAAATCTCGCCAACGCCCAAAGTGGTCGAAACGAACGTGCCAAATCCGCTACCGTCCAGCGTAATAAGCGAACAAACTCCTAGTGACAGTTTTAGTGAGAAAACTAGTGATAAAAATACTGAAGTGGTGGTCAGTGAACCGACTCCGGGTCAAGAAGATTCTTCTAGAGAATTGCTGACGCGACGACTAACGACTTTGACGAGTACTGAAAGTACTGACAAAAACGGTGCTCATTGGTCGAAACTTAAACGGGCGGCTATTTCAAAAGACTTGGAAGGTACATCAGACCTAGAAAATGCGAAATCTAAGAAACGAGATGATAAAGGAGCCAAATTATTGAAAAAGCCTGGTTTGGTATTGTCGAGGAAAACTAAGCATTACAGGTAAGATGATATATTTTTTTTTAATAATATTTATTTAATAATTATTGTGTTTCAAAGATTTGTGCAGTCACAACAAAGAGAGTATTACTCAGTTCCATCAGAGCCGTTTAATTATCGGTATAGGTTTGTAAAGTTCCCCAAATATTGCTTGTTACCTTTGAACTGTCCTTCTTATTACAAAGAAAAAGGGTATTGTTGAGTATTTTCCGTTTAGTACTTTGTAAATAATAAGCTTATAGAAATTATGTCTGCTAGACCCCTTACAATAGTTGGTTTTCGTACAACCTACCACAAATAACAGGAATTTGAAAACTTTTAGCAACTTTGTTCCGAAAATTTCGATATACACTTATTAGTTCTAGATATTGTTATTGTCCATCAATCCTGTGCAGAAAGGACATTTGAACATATGAGGACTGAATGAAGTAAGTTTTACAGTAAGTCTGAGGAGTTAAGTGATAATGTTTTGGAGAATAATGTCCTTACTGCATAGAGCCTGAATCTGTAATGCACTTATCCCAATTTTCAACAAAAATAAGTAATTCGACAATATGTTCATAGTTTATTTCTCTAAACTTATAGGTCGATAGACGATTTGTCACCAGAATATGGACCGCTACCTTTTGTTAAGAAATTAAAAATCCTCAACGAACGTCAAAAGTTAGAAGAGTTAGAAACAGCAATGAAAACGCGAAGTTTTTCTTTAGACATACCCGAAAGCCAAAGCGAAACTAGTGATACACTAACCAGGTACTTTGTAGATTTTTAGTTTTTGTATTAGAACCCTATTCGCCCTGTTTGTTTTCAAGTAGATCAATCCCCATTTTAGATCTCACTCGGAAGGTTCCTCGGTGCACCAACAAGACCAACATCCCGATAAAAGATTCCTCACCGCTCCTTTGGCCCCTTCACCCCTAAATTCGTCGAACGAATCGAACGAAACGCCCGAGCGGCGAAACCTCAAGTCAATTCTTAAAAAGCTGTCCGAGGATACCAAAGAAAAAGTGAAAGATATAATAAAGGAAAAGGAAATAGACAGCAAAGAAAAGGAAAAAGAAAGTGAGCAACAAGACGCACCACCGCCTGAGAAAAAACCGAAGAAAATGGACTCTACGGAATTTAAAAGGTAGATACTGTAAAGTAAGATGACTGAGAAGTGTGAGGAGGAGATGCTTTCGATTCATATTTTTTTAAATATTAGATATTGTCTCAAATATTCCTTTGCATGAAATGTTGTTGTTTATACTTAACCCACAAAACACCTTTCAAAATGCCATTACATTACAGACAATATATCGATTGAAGTTTGATCTTGTTTGCTTCAAGGTTAATGAGAGCACCCACGATCGAAGGATATGCAGCAAGACACAGTAAACTTTCGAAAAGTGTCACATTTAATCGCGATACGCTGCAAAGTCCTCCAAATAGTGCCAACACTGTTTTGGGCACGCCGCAAAGTCTCTTTCCCTTTGTTCATTCGCCGACAGATAATGGTTTAGACGCAAAACAAGGAGTAAGTTTTTTATCAGATAAGATCAATGTCATTTTGGCTTTTTAAACAGGAAGAATTTTGCAAGTATTCTTTTCACTCCTCTTATCACAACTATAGGTCATATGATCAACAGTTGTTTATAAGATGGATATTTAAAATTCTGAATATGGATATTTTTTGATTTTCTCAATTGAAAACTGAAATCACAATAAAGCAAGTTAAATTCAATTTACCTATTCAAGAGATTTGCATTTAATTAAAATAATTGTTTTAGAACTTAGTTGCTAGTAATTTAAACTCGTTCAATCTTGACCGAAGGTCAGCCTCAAAGTTATCTACTCAATAACTGAAAATCAGTTAAGTAATTTAATTTAAATGGATAGTTGAGATTTATGGAGAGCCTTAGCCTTGGTTAAATAATTTGATATTGGTAACAGCTAATGTTGAAAAAAATATTACCTACTTAGTGAATTTCCTATTAAATGTGTGGTTTCTTTTAGGTAAAAATAAATGAACTTGAACGATGTAATGCCCAGATAGTGCCTAATAATAAAACAAATAATCAAGTGAAAATTATAAAATGTAAGTACTATTTTGGGTTCATATATTCATAAAGTTAAAGGTAAGTAAGTGAAAAATTACAAAGTTCTAAAGTATCATTTTTCTTTTGAAACTTTCAGCGTCTTTAGACGAACAACAATATTTCGCGGACATTCTTCTAGCGATAAAACAAGTCATGAGCGCTCACCTCCAAGAGATGCAGCTGAAATTCCAGGAACGCTTCGATCGTTTAGAAGAAGAATTACGGAACAAAAACGACGTAATTCAACAGCTTAGAGCGCATATTTGCGAGCTGGAAAATACGGCGACCGATAATTCGTTTAGTGTAAGTCGATTTTTTTTTTTGTATTTAATTATGTTTATTACTAATTTTTATATTTATAGGATTCTATTGATACAATTATAAGTAGAGACAAACAGTCATGGGAAGATCCGACACACGAGGAAGAAGAAGAACTTCAAGAGTTACCACAACCGATAAACGCTTGGCAACAGTCTAGGTCGAATAGTGTAGTTTTAAATATTGACACAACAACAGGTAAGTCTCAAAGAAACTCTAGATTATTCAAGTCTCAAATTCCTACATGAAGGTACTTACAATTTTTCCTTACTTTCACTAAATTATTCTAATAAAATAAATCTTTTGATTACTAAGTGCACGCACCTAATGTAGTTTAACCATTTTAATTATTTTTTCTTTAGCTTCTTGATTCACGACCTTCAACTGATACCTAATACTTTTCGCGACTTTTATACTTTTCAAATTTTTCATGGACAAGACAGTGGCGGATACAGTGGAGGGCAGGGGAGGCAACTGCCCCCCTCTTTTAAAATAAAATAATAAAATTTAAAAAAAAAAGAGAAACAAAATCATATTTTGAGTTTCAAGAATGTTTAGAAAGCTGTACAACTTTTGTATTTGGAGTGTCAATATATAAAAAAACACCCTGTACAAATAGTGAATTATTGCGGAACTTATGGGTGGACCGCAGCCATCTACTCACCAATATACTGTTGAACTGTTCAAATAAGACACTCACCTGCAACGTGTAGTTTTTGAACTAACGAGAAAAATTCTCAACTAAGTGAATCAGGTTAGTATTATACTTGAATATTTGGTGAATAGATGGCTGGGTCCACCCATAAGTTCCGCAACAATCCACTCGTTTGTACTTGAATAACTTTATATATTAGATATTTATTTATTTATTGATACATCTCACATACACAATAATTTGTTATTACAAAAGTGCCTAAATCTAAAAGACAAGAGAAAATAATTAAAAAAATAAAGGACAAAACATAACAATAATAAAAATAACAATAAAATACTAAAAATAACGAAAACAGGAACGTTAGCCAGATGCCCTGTAAAGCCCGCCGAGGTTCTTATGCTAAAAATAATGATTTGATCTCTCCCATTCGACAAGCAAAAAAGTCAATATTATGCCTATCTATTAATTTATCACATTCCAACTGCATATTATTAATTGGAGAGTTGTTTACATTTTTACATGAAAAAATCTTGTTACCATAAAGTCTAAGGTTTATCTTTGGTACATGAAAACTTACATAATTTATCAATAAGGATGACTTGTACTTAAGATTATTGACTATGTTGTAAATGAGTAGGACTGACTGCATACATCTTCTACTGTGTAGCGATTGAATCTTAAAACCATCCAACATACTCCTATATGATACCAACAATGGGTATACATTATAACTTCTGACATAAAGATATCTAAGAAATCTTTTCTGTACCTTCTCTATAAGGTTGATGTTAACTTCGGTTTGAGGTGACCAAAAAACCGCAGCGTATTCCAAATGAGGTCTCACCAAACAATTAAACAGTTTTACTACAGAATCAATCCTTTCGAAATGCCTACTATTTCTAATTACAAACCCAAGCGCTCTGCATGCTTTATTAACAATATTGTTATAATGACAAGAAAAATTTAGGTTTGACTGAAATTCAACTCCTAGGTCTCTACACTTATGTTGTCTTGTAAGTGAAGCATTGTTTATGAATTAATAACATTTACTTTACGTGTATAAGTTATCACTAGGCATTTATCAGCATTAAAATTAATTTTGCTTAACTGAAACCAATTGGATACTGAATCGAGATCACTTTGTAGCTTTCTACAATCTTCAGCATCACAAATTTCCCTATATACCTTAAAGTCATCAGCATACATCAGACAAGAAGAGTGCTTAACACATGAGGGCAAGTTATTAACAAAAAAAAATAAATAATAAGGGCCCCAGATTGTTCCCCTGAGGGACACCAGATGTCACAATAAAATCAGAAGACAAACATCTACCCACTTTAACTTGGATTGACCTAGATTCAAGATAAGATTCAATCAGCGTACATGCACTTTTGGAAAAGTTAAACTTACTTAATTTACTTACCAATAAACCTATGATCGACCTTGTCAAAAGCTTTTGTGCAGTCAGTCATAATCACATCCAATTGACTTTTGTTATTTATTGCTTCCGAAGCCTTACAGGTCAACAGACAAAGATTTGTCACAGTGGACCTATCCGGCAAAAATCATGTTGTTGGTCTGAAAAAGAACAACACAAGATTGTTTCATATATTTTGGCTAAAGAATTTAAAATTGGTATTGGTCGATAGTGCTCAATGTTGTTTTGACTTTTGCCAACTTTGGTGAGAAGGCTAGGGCTGCGTTCAGGAATGACTACAGCCAAGTCAAAATTGGCATTTTGCGTTCGATTTCGGCTCCAACCTACGTGGTTCGGCATTACAGGTGGAGGGGGAAAAGTAGGTTTTGGCATTAGCATTGCCGTCCTTGAACGCAACCTAGGAAATTTATTTGTCTTGATTGACAGAATAAAAATATGTACAAGGGGCCTTACAAATATATCTACATAGCCTTTATAAAATAGGATGGAACATTATCCACACCAGTGGCTTTTTTCGGTTTAAGTTTCTTAATGCTGAGTCTGCATTTTCTTCTGTCAGTTTAGGAAAGACGAAATTTCCCTCATAACAAATGTTTTCATCAATTGGTGTAGATTTCTGAAAAACTGAACTAAAGTATTGAGCAAAGGCATCTGCTATACACTGTGGTTCACTAAAACTAACATTGTTAAAATTCATTACATGAGGGATACAATTGTTTTTACTTTTCCCTTTAACATATGACCAAAAACTGCTAGGATCTAAATATATGTTGTTTTTAATCTTTTGTGAGTGTGAGTTAAATTCAGCTTTAGTCTGGTGTTTAATAGTACCTACGTCTTAGGTTTCTGTATTCAGTGATTTGCAAATCTGTTGCATTCCCTGAATTACACAGTTTATGTAACTTGTTCTTTTTCCTAATGTCCCTAACTCCCTAACTAATTCAACTGAGAAATAGACTGGATACTTACGGCCACTACTTGCCTTGGTCAAGTTTTTTAGGGATAGCTTGGTCTATACATTTAAGATATAAAGTATCATGAAAATCTCCACACATTCATCACAATCAGATACACTGTATATATTAGACCAATCTGCTGAGTTTAACAGATGATAAAGCATGGGAAAATTGCCATTTGCGTAATCATGATAAAAGCTTTTCTTTATGGGGTTATTTTCATCAGACTGGGTACCACTACCATGCAATAACATTAATATATTTAGTGCCGGGTGTTGCATATCTTTACTGACTAGAGGATTATCACATTCGTGAATACCTATCTACAAAATTCATATTACTAAAAATAAGATCTAACAACCTTTCCCTACAGTTAAATATAGTATTAATTTGTGTCAGACTATGATGTAACTCTAGGAACTGATAGATAAGGCAAGTCTTGTCACAGGCTTTTATGGAAAAATTTGGCACGTTGAAGTCACCCATAAGAGTAAAATCTATATTGCCAGAAATAAACTTGTCACAATATATTACTAGTTTGGTAAAGTAACATTACTAATTCCTGTTAAAAGGCCAATTGACAAAAAGTGGCTAATCTTACAATTTCTGACTTTATATAATAAGTTATTGTTCAAGTACAAATGAGTGGATTGTTGCAGAACTTATGGGTGGACCTCTGCGGGACGAGCGCAGCGAGTTCCGCAGCCATCTAATCACCAATATACTATTGAACTGTTCAAGTAAGACATTCACCTGAAACGTGTAATTTTTAAATTAATGAGAATAACGCACATTTGAGCGAGTCAGTTTAGTATCGCAATTAAACAACATATTGATGAATAGATGGCTGCGGGACGAGCGCAGCGAGTTCCGCAGATGTCCACCCATAAGTTCCGCAACAATTCACTCGTTTGTACTTGAATAACTTGTCACAATATATTACTAGTTTGGGTTAGTAGAGTAACATTATTAATTCCTGTTGAAAGGCGAATTGACAAAAAGTGGATAATCATACAAATTCTGATTTCATATAATAAGTTATTGTTCAAGTACACGGTGTTTTTTTATATATTGATACCCCACCTACAGCCTTCACCTTTACAAGTAAATGAAAGGTGTAAATACAAAAGTTGTACAGTTGCCGAGTTCGTTTTTGTCATCTTTTTCGTCGAGTTGCTTCGAAATTTTGACAGGCACGTGACTGGATAAGACAGTTTCAATTTACAAATCACGTGCCTGTCAAAATTTCGGAGCAAAGCGACGAAAAAGATGACAAAAACGAACTCGGCCAGTATTGGCTAAATTTTCCAAATCCATGATCAGAAACAAAAATTGAATGTCAGAAATGTGAAATATTGCATGCTTTTAGCTTTTTTCAAATGGGATGCTCTATATTTGGTTCTAGAGCACAATTTCCCGATTCGAATCGAAAACTATATAGTTTGTCTATATTTGGGCCGTCCCCAATATATTTGGTTCTAAAAGTTTTAAAAATACTATCAGAGAAACCAAGTACATAGATACCTTAAATTTCACCTGCAGCTTTCACCTGTATAGGTAGAATGGTTCACAAAATCAGTAGTAGGATAGCATTTTTACAATTTTTGGAGCCGAATATATGAGAGACTGTTCAATCAAATATAGACAAGTTATATATTTTTCTATTTTTGGAATCGGGGCCATTGTGCTCTTCAAGAATATAGAATGAAATATAGGGCATCCCGTTTGAAAAAAGCTGGAAGCATGCAAAATTTCACATTTCTGACATTCAAATTTTGTTTCTGACCATGGTTTCTAAAAATTCAGCCAAAATTGTACAACTTTTGTATTTACACCTTTCTTTTACCTGTAAAGGTAAAGACTGTAGGTGGGGTGTCAATATATAAAAAAACATCCTGTACCTACCTATTTAAAATCACCTTATTCTCCCATTTCCATATTTTTATGGGCCATTCCTTCGAAAAACCGTATCTTGCACAATGCGCTCCCAAAACTAACCCAATCTGGCTTACTTTAACTTAAACTGCCCCCCCCCCCCCCTTTCAAAAGGCCTGTATCCGCCCCTGGGACAAGATTCTATTCACAGGACGAATCCCTGTTTACTCTTCGACTTGCGACTCAACCTTGAATTCCTTTGACAGTGAAAAGAAAACGTTTTCAACCAATCAAACTACCCTTTCAAAAATAATATTTTATAAAATCCATAAAATATCTTCTGCTTATAGATACAGACTCTGACAATGCTGATGGTGAAATGTCTGAAAACGACCCCGATTTCGAATCAGGCGACAATGATCAGTATGAAAACTCGAGTTCGAATTGGGAAATCGAACTTTTGGCCGCCCAAATGCGAGAGCGAAGAGCCGGAAGCCTGGATCATACCATTGGCAGGCCCCTGCTACGTAACAGGTGAGATTTACTTTTCCAATTTATATCTTTATTAATTTTTTTAATATTAAAGATTCCTAAGAGGTTCAAGTATGGACGGGAACGATTGATATTTAGTATTTCACAGAAGCAGGACCAAAATATCGTCATCGACGAGGTGCACAATATACGGGGGCTGGTACTTGGTGCACTGCACCTGGATTAAAATAAAATGAACAATTTCTTTTATAAACGAGATAAAGTTGGATTTACAATATCAATACTATTAGGAAATTGAAAATTATTTTTTACTATACCTACACACACACAGAGAATAAGTGCAAAATTTATTTTTGAAATTGAATTAAAGAGACCACTGTATTCAAAATGTCGAATGAGAAAGCTAGAAAAAGAATAATTACAGTAGAATATTCAAGAACTTCTACTAGACCTATTAGACTAGTTTGTTGCTCAAGCGTAATTTCTTTTAAGTAGTAGGTATAGGGTGGCTCAAGAGTAAATTTCCCTTTTCGAACGGAACATGGTGTGGGCGTGTTCGAAAAGGGAAATTTACTCTGATTCACCCTGTACTTCGTACTCTCTATAATGTAATTTATACTGTATTTTATTATTCTTTTTCCAGCTTTCTAATTAATTGAATTGCAGATTTATTTGGAAACAATATAATATCAAATTAGCTAATTTACTTATTCTGTACACAAAATTGTTAGTTGGGATTTTCTCAATAAATTTGCAATCCCTACCTTATGTGATACTGATACCAGAGTGAGTGAATATAAAAGATTTGGGACGATAACGAAACGCTCAAATTCATTTGAATTATCCGTAATTAAAAGGTCAAAATTAAACATGTAGTGCCAATACCTAAAGTTTATAATAATTTCACAAATTATATATTTATCTTAGGACATATTTAATTCGATCATGGAAATGTAAACATTCTATGATCGAAACAAAAATAAAATTAATAGTTAGCAAAAATTATAAATAATAATTAATTAAAAAGAAAGTCGTATTCACTAATAATTATTATTATACTACAAGAAAAACCTTACAAATTTTATTACCTCTTACTTTTGTAAACTAAAAAATATAGTTATAAATAAATTTAGAATCTAGTGAGAAATTTTACTTTTTTAAATACAACATACCCTATACTATCGTTATTAATTTTACATCGAATAAGTTTTTATAACAGCTTTGTACGTAAGATATCGAAAAACCTTTATAATATTGCAATAAAAATAGTCGTCTTGGGAGTGTAAGAAAATTTTCAATTTCAAAGACAGATTGTCAGATTTTTTGTAATTCAACAGCAAATAATAGCACTAGTCAAATACTCACATTTAAATAGAATAATTCTGGCTGTTGCTTTGCAAAAATTTGAGACATTCTGTTGCTAATTCCATATTTGCTCCTAAATCCCAATAAATACTTAATTAATCATGTTAGCTGTGATTGCACTGTTGTACACATTTTAAAATAATGTCAATCCTTCATTTCATGCAAAAGTCAATCACACCGAACATAATCAATTTTTGCATTATGAGACACCAGGTATATAGAAAGTTAATATACTTATAATAGATGAAAAATGACCACTTTAGCAAACAAAGAATGATGGTAGAAAGATTAAACAAATAAAATATAGTTTTAAAAATCTGTAATATATTGTATTGTAAACTTACTAATAAAAAAGAAGATTCTCGAGAAAAAAACGTTAATTTTAATTTGATGAATTAATGCTGAACTGCAACCTGCATAGATCTATTATATCCCCCTTCTGGGTGCTTCAGTTTATAGGATTCTCACTCATTAATTGCTCTGATATTTTCTTCCATATTGGCTCTGTATAATTCTCAATTTGCTCTCATGGGATTTCTCTTACTTTGGAGGGCTTTACTTCTAAGCTGAACTCTATATAATCCTGTGATCAGTCGGCCAAGACCCTCCAGTTTTTCAGAACCAAATGTAATGTCTAGTAGGTACCTACTTCCTCCCTTGCCCCCTTGTTATAAGTGTCGGTGTATTCCCTTTATTGTAAACATCAAAGTTCATTTCAAGTTGATGTAATTTACAGGCAGTTTCTATTATTATCTACTACAGCATAAGTGGGCGAAATTTCATTATTAACAATATTTAATAAAGCACTGATAAAGATGGTTATCTACCTTTTAAACATTCTAACAATAATTTTATTATCAAGCTCTGTGTAAATGTAAATTATTACTAGTCATGTATTTATAATTGCGATATGGATACACGTTATTAGAGTATTATTTATTGATAAGTTTCTGATTGCTGGTGAGTGGTGAAGACAAGGCACATTTTTTTTATTTAACAAAGGTAAAACATTATTTTGAAATTGTTTGATAATTTTAACCCAAGAGAAACATATTATATATTAAAACTTCTATATAACTTTTTGGATCCTGCCAATAAGATCTTGTTTTTTCGCTTTTTGATGTGATTATGGTTGTTCAAATTTTTGAAACGCTGACTGGGCGAAATCCTAGATACAATAACATTGAATTATTGATAAACTCATCTTTAAAATATTTTCATTCATTCATTTATCAAAGTTGAATCTTGTGATTGGTTAATTATTAATTAACAAATACTTTTCACAAGATTCTTGATTTTGTTTCTTCCTATTCTCATTTTTCTCTGTCCCTGATGGACTTAATTTCCTTGTTTATTTTTCTGTCTTTCGAAAATTTTTCATTTCTCCTTTTTCAAATCATAAGATCTACCGCTTTGATACATGACCGCATTTTGATACATAAAGCAATTATTATTTTCACTTTCTTTTATGCCCAACCCATCAAAAAATATTTGCCCTATTCAAAACAACTTTTACCATAAGCATTAAACGATTATCGTGAATCTATTTTATCATTATAAGTTTTATGGTACCGTCCAATTACGATTGGGAATACCATCGCGTCCCAATGACTATGACTGATAATTGCGAAACTTTATTAGTTTTTAGCGGCAAGGTGATTCGCCAACAACAAAATCGTATAAACGATTTCAATAATTTCATTGAAAAATTTTATCTTTATGGTGTGTTGTGGTGGCAAAATATAAAATTGGAAAAACTCATTCAGGTCAGTGTTAAATTTGATTGTTCTGTCTCACTTTCAAAGTGTACAACTGCGTAAATGTGTAACTGTTATTTGCATAATAAACTATACAATTGCAAAATGAAAATATTTCATTCTAGAGCCAATGCGGCTTTGACATCTTTGTGCAAAAAAAGTTATATGTACTTTGCATATAAATTATTGTTGTATTCTATGGATGTATTATGCCTAGTGCCTTGAGATTGTTAGAGCAAGGATTCTTAGAGAATTAAGCAGTTCAAAGGCATCAGACAGATTGTATTACCAATGTTCGTGCAATTAAAAAATAAAAAAATAATAAAACAAAATTTATTATCGTATTTGATGCAAAATTGTACTTAAACTCATGATAAACCTTGGTTTTTATTCAGAATATTAGTTGAAACATAACTTTAGGTAATAATAGAGCTGTATAACTGATAAAGGTTTCAATTTTATTATAATTACCTGCCTGTAATAATCATCATTAAATATATTGATAAAGTTAGTGGTATCAAAAGTACCTAGGTACTTAAAAAGTAATATCAAAGTAGATTTGTTTCTAATCAACTTTTGTGCAAAAATTTTCACATTTTAATATATTTCATTGTTCATCTATAAGCCGTGATAATAATCTCGGAACACTCATGTATTAATTTTCTATTGTTTTTTTTTTATGCTGTTCAATTATTCTTATCGTCCATAATAGCTAAGTGCCTATAATTTTTTTTATTTTCTAGGTCATAACAATGAATTATAAGTGAAAAAAAAATTAGATATACCTACTTACAAAGGCACTAAGGAACGATGGAGAGTAACTATAACTCTACACAAAGTATTATTAAGGTTAGTATATAAAAATAAATTGTGCAATTGTGGATGAGAATAGAAGAGTTAAATTTTGTTTGAAACTTGGTACCTACCTACCTACTTCTTGATATCTTTATCTAAAATTCACTTAAATTCAGTATAAATAAATCAATTAAAATCTTGCCAGCTGGCAAAAGGAGTCAAGTGCAAGTTCCACAACTAATATAGTTTAGCAAAATATCTCAATCATGGATTCGTAGAACCACTCATATTTCCATGGCATGACCACCTTCATAAAACGCGGTACTGATGGAAGCAGTACCCAAGTAAATATGGAAAAGCCTCCTTGATAATCTAGTTTATACTTCCTAAGCAAAAGAAAAAGTCTCAAAACGCCAAAAATACCATTACTATTGGTATAATTGAGGGCATATACCTTAAATTCTAATTTGTTTACTATCAGTTATTATTTACTTCTAAACTTATATGAAACCTGCTATAATGTGATTTTAATGGTCATTTTAACCACAATCTGTAAATAACTTGTTTCCATATCATATTAAATTAAAAAATACCTAGGTAGGTTATGTGGTTTAAAAATTCTGTAATTATGATTTCAAGTTCAAATCCGATGAAAATCTCGAATGCTAAGGTTGCATGTTGTCATAATTGGTTTTACCGCGAAAACTAGTTTGCAGTTATTAAAGACTTTGCATCTATTCATAATACATTTTTCTTTTCTACATAATTTGGTATTTCCCCTCGTTCCTTTGGTTTTTCGCTTCTTTTTTTTTGTTCTTAGCTGCCGTCACTTATTGTACTTGCCTTTTGACAAAGTTGTCCTTCTCCATAAATTATTACAATCAATATTCCTTTTTGCAGGTTCTTTTTTAATTTCTTTGCTTTTATTTTACTTCCTATAAGTACACACTATTTACACTGCTAGAGGTGGTACAATTGTACCAGGTTTGGTACCATTCGTTTTGAAAAAGTACGCTGGTACGACGTTGGTATATTTGGTACAATTTTCAATTTTTTTATTTTTTCCAAATTCTCAAAGGGTGTTAGCCTACTGCCTACTTAGACTAATGTCGATGTTCTAATTAACTTGTATTTCTGTATCCAAATTCGATATAACAATAATTTTTGATTCGTAAATAGATGGCGTCACCAACGTAACACGTAACACTCGTTTTGTGGTTTTTGGTTTACGTAGTTTATGTTTAGTTTAGGTTTTCGGCAGAAAATAAAGAAAACTCAAAGCCTCGTACTTTAAATCGGTTTTCCTGATCAGAAAAGCGCAAAATCCAAAGAAAAACCATTGAAAAATGACATTCCAAAGCCTACTTGATGAAACTTAAGTTTTTGTTACTTACCCCGTTGAAAAACTCGAAATTTTTGATACAAAATGAAGGAAACTCAAAGCCTCGTACTTTAAATCGATTTTCCCGATCCCGGAAAAGTGGAAAATTCGAGGAAAAAGTGGATAAAAATGTAAACACGTCAAATGAAAATGGTTGACTTTCAAAAATGACAAATGATATTTATTACAAGGCCTCCTTGATTGAAGTTAGCCACAAACGGTGTTGCCACATCAAAAGCATTTTAAATGGGATTTTGCTAATTATGGCATTTAAAAGTGGAAATTTTTGCTAGAAAATGAAGAAAACTCAAAGCCTCGTATGTTAAATCGCTTTTTTTCCATTAAAAATCCTCAGAAAAGTCGAAAGTTTGAGGAAAGCACGCAAAAAATCACAAGCCGTCACTTCAAAATGGCCGACTAAAAGCAACATGGCCACATTACATCTCGGAAAATAAAAATAACCTTTAAAATGAGTTTTTTGTTTAAAATTCAATTAAAAATTGTGAAAGCTAAAGCATCGGAAAAATGTTTTTAGTTTAATTTCAATGAAAATGACATTACAAGGTTTACTTGTTGATTATAGTGAGTAAGACAAAGACAACGATAAAGTAGTATATGTTTGCAAAAACCACCGTTCTCTGAAAAAAGTGAAAATTTTAAGAAAACTCAATAGAAAACCAACATTCCAAAGTCAATTTGATAAAATTAAAGTTTTTAAATATTCACGGCTCTTTGATTGGGCGCTAAAAATCGCATTTTGAATATTCCCAGTTTTTGATTGGCTCCAAATTATCCGCTGACGAATAGAATTATAAACTAGGTCCCGTGAATAAAATAACTCCAGCCCTTCGGGCTCTCGTATAACTCCGGCCCTTCAGGCCCGCGTATAACTCCGGCCCTTCGGGCTCGCATATAATTAACAGTTTTCTCGATCGAAACCGGTCTGGAAAAGTGGAAAATTCGAGGAGAAACTGGATAAAACACTCAGAAATGGCCGACTGTCTAAAATGCCAAAATGACATGACATTACAAAACTTACTTGAACAAAAGTGATTTTGCCATGATTACAATCTCAAACATGTTTTTCCAGATTTTACTGAGTGAAACAGAGAAGATAAGGTAGGATACATTAGTAAAAAACCAAAAGAGATTATAAATGAGTAAGACAAAGAGCGAGAAAAAGTAGGAAACAATTTAAATGATCAGTTGATCGAGCCAAACTACCATCAAAGTAAATTTTCGATTGTTCCCGGTTCAAACACTTGGAATAACTACTCAACCTTTTTTTTTGACAACAGACAAGCCTACATACAATATTATGACTTTTGACAATTGACAGGTTCATTTTCAGGACCACCTACCATTGTTATGACTTTTTTTGTCAATTGACAGCCTTGTGATTCAGATTAAGGCCTACAACAGCAACGTTGCCACATTTTAACGGTAATTTTGGAGCATTTGTAATTGGAAATGTAAAACGTTGACAAGTGGCAATTGACATCAAGAAACGATTGTTATGATGTTGTAGGCTGATTGAAATTTTCAACTTTTGGCAACACTGTAACGCTGGAGGATTGAAATGGCGTTTTTTTTTAATCATGAGCCCGAAGAGCGAGAGCAGGGCCGGCTTAAGGGGGGAGCGAGATGGGCGGCCGCCCAGGGCGGCACGATCCAGGGGCGGCAAATTCATACCATCAACACAACAACAATAAAATTTATTAGAAAATAAAACCAACGACTAAAAAAAATTGAGACATGAATCAAACAGCGAACTAATTATATTATAGGATAGGTGTCATTTTGATCAATCGAAACAGCACAGTGGGCATTTCAACTTCTTATGATAGGTATCCGAGATGATATCCATTTTTTACAAAACATTTCATCTAGAAGAGTTATCGGAATATTGCAAAAAATTTTATCATGTTCTCATGTATGAGAATTATTTCGACGTGAATGTGGCAGAATTAGCTGATGAACTACCTGTGTTATATACGTTAATGGAGCCCAATCACAATCTTATTGATGTGTTAAAATTAGCAGTCCAACGTCCAAATGGATATTCCACCGAGTGTTGTTGATGTGGCCCTCAGATCCTCAGAAATTTATTAACATTGCCGATTGCCCATTGCCCATAACTGTTGAAAGTGTCAAGAAAAGCTTCTCTAGATTAAATTTAATAAAAACATATCTACTTGATAAGATCATCTTGGCCCGGAAAGGGTAAGCGGTTAGCATGTTAGCAATGATTGCTATGAGCATGAAATCGATGCTAAATTGAAAATAGATCCCCTACTTGAAGATTTTGCTGCATTCAAAGCCCGAAAATATTTTAAATATATCTCAATAATTTTATTAAAAATGTGCCTACTCACCCTAATAGCACAAAAGGTACGATGGACGATGGACGTTTTTTCTGTTCAACGTCGAAACTTCCAAGGACTTAAATAGAATGTTGTATAAACGTTTGCTCGGGATCATTTTTGAGAACGACGAAAAAAGACGTTCGAAATATGTTCACAAAACGTTCATGAGCAAGTTCTGAAAGGAAAGGTTTGGAAACTACTGTTGTAGGAAGTTTTTAAAACCAATAACAGCAAACGTCTTGCAAATGTTTTTAAAGTAGGTAATTGTCCATGTCCGAGTCTTTTTTAAAAGGTATAAACAGCATGTTCTTTAGACGTGATTTGTTTTCAAAACCTCTGTTAGGAACAATTAAAGAGTGACAGAACGTTTTCTATGGGTTCGTAGAAGTATGTTTTCATAAAAAAATCATGAGAGACGTTTTATAAAGGTTTCTGTTGGTCGTTTTCAAGAACACCGTTTGAAACATGTACCCCACGACCACACGTCCGGAAATTAGTTTGAATAAGACGTTTCTAAAAGGTTGTTTGTAGCTGTAATATTTGCACTACCTATAAAATAAGTCTATTGGATGGTGTTGGATACTTTGAAGGAAGTCTGGTCAAGGTTCGTAGAGACTCTTTTTTCGTTTTCAAAATGTTCGTATTAAGGCGTTTTTGAAACGTCAATTTCGACGTAGACGTCGAAATATCATATAGATCTGACGTTTGAAGTTGTGACATTTGCACTAAATAAAAATGCACCTTTGGATGTTCTCATAGCGTTTCCGATTGGTAGATTCAGTGCGCACTGAGTGTATTTGCATCTTTTTAAGCGACCTGTAGAAGAAAAAAGACAGAAATAGAAAAAATTGCACTAGTTCCGCACTAGATCTACGAATCGGAAACGCCATCAGTTACTTTAGCTGACGTTTTTAAAAACGTTTTGACGTCCGATCGAATGATTTTTTGCTATCAGGGTATGCTAATATCGTCGCCTGCCTTACAAAGGGGCTTATCTCAAAAAATTGCTAAATTGAGTTAGGCCCTTGGAAGATATCATCAAAAGAGATACCGGACAGCTACCTTCCAAAAGGCATATCTCAAATCCTCAAACAAGGTAGGTAATCCCGAAGGCCTATCTCAGATTTGGCACGAAAATTATCTCACAAAATATTTGTAAAAACTTCTTTTTTCTCTCCTGAAAAATCACAAAAAATGAGATAGGCCCCTTTGCAAGGAAGGGGACGATATATACAAATACAACGGATACATAATGTATCTGTTGATTGTTGCAAAAGTTTGGATTGGCTGACTTATACTTTGTTTTTTATGTTTCTTGTTTGCTTATGTTAGTTTTTTTGGTGGTTAACCACATGATAAAGTGTGTGGTTTTATTGCTATGATGATATGCCTTCTTACTGTTTCGTGTTGTTATTTTTTTTTTCTACAATTCAAGATCTCTCACATTTTTCCTAAGCAGACCATGGGATGGGGCTGCAAATTTACTCATTGCCCAGGGCGGCAAAATACCTAGAGCCGGCCCTGGGCGAGAGTGTATTTAATCTTGAGCCCACAGGAAAACGAAGAAACGCCACTTGTATCGAGTTTTAAAGAAAACAAGGCCTACTTTGAAACGTCAATTTGTTAACTGTCATAAGCAGTATTGCCATATGTTTTTTTTTTAAATCTCTAGCCTGAATGGCCGGTGTTGTTTTAATTACGTTACGAGCCCGAAGGGCCGAGGTTATACGAGCCCCAAGGACCGGAGTTATATGAGTCCGTTCATTGTCAACTAATTTTAATACCTATTATGCATATTACAGATCTGTGATGTCTTTAGATGTTTTAGGGCGCACGCGCGCTATACACTGAAGGAATCAGCGTGTCCTTCCTGGCCGAGTGGCCCGGATAACCCGCTCTGGTACAATTTTTCTTTAATTTTGGTACAAAAAATGTTTGCTCTCTGGCAACACTGTTGTATACTTTCACTTTTTTAACAAATAGTTTTCGTATTGTGGACTAACATCTTTGTATCTTCGCCTTTCTCAATATTTTACATGATGTTTATGCAACGCATCATATATTTTCATGATAATAAAGTTTTTTGCTATTTCCACCTTTTCTTTCATTCTACTCGTATAATATTTGTAACCTTTCATCTATTCTATTGATTTGGCCTTTATCTGAATACTTAGTGTGTCACGGATTCCGGGTTCATTAAAACTCACCACAAAAACTTATAACTACGATCTATTTATATAGTCGTAATCACACTCGGTCGCAAAGTCTTCTAGGTGATTGACGGATGAATGAGCACAGCCAGCATTGATTCCATGCTTGATGATGTTCGTCTCACCCAGTTTCGCCATTTTTATCCTCTAAGGTATTCTTGTTCTCACAAAGGAACTGTTGAGCCTTCTGAGATGTTAATAAGATATTTCGAATTGTCTTAGAATGTCGTTGGATGATTTAGTTCTTTTTTTTTATGTTCTCCAGCTTCAACTTTAAAATACCTTTGACAGGCTGATAGGTGGCTATGACATCGCCCTTGTCGATTTGAATAGTGTTGTGGCCAGAGTTTGGCTATTCGGACTGGTATAATTCCTTGTGAGGTCACCAAAGTTTCTCTGTTTCTCAATTTATTGCAAGTTTGCTGTGTTTGAACAAGTCCAACCAACACAGCTCTCAGAATCATGTCTTTTTCAATATTCTTGATGTCTTATAAGGGTAATGGGAAGCAGCAAAATGGCATCAGAATTAATTCGATTAGTTTCAATGTTCAATTTTTAATTATTCTCGGCTCTTGATTCCCTAGTCAAGTGCCAGGAATAATCATTTAATAATTTTCAGGATCATTCAAATCTTAATCACAGCATAGATCTGAGCAATGGTCCAAGTGAAAGTCCCGACGCAAACCACAGAAAGAAAAGAAAATATGCAGGCAGTCTGAACAAGCACGTGATATATTTCATGATATTTGCACTTATTACAGCCCACGTAATTTGGGCGACTGTTCATTTCTTCCGACAGAATAATTGTAAGCATTTAATTATGAAGTTGGATTTGGTTAATGCTTTAATATTTTAGACAATGTGAGTTGGGAGACATTTAGGGAGACCACTGATAAAGGATATGGTCTTATGGTGATACTCTACATCATTTACGTATATTCGTTAGCATACTATTATGTTTTTAAACCGTTTGCCGGAGAGCCACTGAAGAGATACGTGTGGAATCCTGCAATTGAACTCTCACACAGTATAAGGTTGTAATTGCATTTCTTTCCAGTGATTTTTTTTTTAATATGAATGTACATTTTTTCTAGATATGGATCGTATATGTTTTACATATTTATATTTGCAATAACTCTTGCATATTTGATATATGATGCCCAAGATGACTATAAAAGATTAATTCCGCTTGGAGGTCTTGTAGTCTTTCTACTTGCAGGATTTGCATTTTCTACAGCACATCGATTGGTAAGTGATTTGCGATTCCACTTAGCTATTAAAAATGTATAATTTCATAGGTCCCTTGGCGTACAATAGCTTGGGGCATAATTCTTCAATTCGCTTTTGGATTTCTAACCATAAGATGGGAAGTGGGAAGAAATGTTTTGATAACGTTCTCGAATCACGTGAACACGTTTTTGGACTACGGTGTGGAAGCTGCGGCATTCACTTACGGTGACTTTTTGGTCAATCAGGCTCAAGTTTTTGCTTTCAGAGTAAGATAAATCAATTATTATTAAGATAATATTCATTTGCAAACTTTGTAGGCTCTATCGGTAGTATTCTTCATCAATTTCGTAGTGAATTTACTCTATTATTATGGACTAATGCAAAAATTTGTCAACATGTTGGGAGGAGCACTTCAGTATATTATGGGCACCACCATATGTGAGAGCGTGAATAGTGTTGCTGTTGCTTTTGTGGGAATGGTAAGTGTGATTTTTATCTAATGAATTTTTATTTAACTGACTTTGCAGTCAGAAGGTCCAATGATGTTGAGGCCATATCTAAAGCATTTGACTGATTCCGAGCTACATTCAATGTTGTTAGCAGGATTTGCTTCTGTGTCAGGTAGAGACTTTTTCTCAATGTAACAAGGCTCAACAATGACAATATTTTTATTATAGGATCCACTTTTGCTGCCTACATAAGTTACGGTGCAAGAGCCCAAGATCTCATTACAGCAAGTATTATGTCGTCACCTTCAGCACTTTGCTTCAGCAAACTCCTCTATCCGGAAACTGAAGAAGTTAAAATTAAAAAGAAAGATGTGCGTATGGTGGAAGTGTAAGTGTGCCAATATAATGATCTATAAATTTTTAATTTTTATAATCTTGTTAGAGAACATTCTTCTGCAATCGACGCTGCAAGTAAAGGTGCATTAGATGCTTTCCATTTGATTGCCGCTATAATATCTGGTGTTACTGCCACTTTGGCTTTTGTATATTTTTTGAACGGTGTACTCACATGGCTTGGAATGCTTGTAGGTAAGACAAACTTTCATATTTTAACAACTCATAGCTTATTGTGTTATTTTGTAATCTAGATGATATTTTAATAAGAATGATTATATACTTCTGCTATTTCCAAGAATCCAAGCTTTTTAATCGAATGTTATGAGTATATGTCAGATTTTTGCTATGCCGCTCATAATGTAGTCACGATATTTTTTAGGATTCACAGAAGATACAAATAAATGGACTCTGGAACTTATTGCAGGAAAAATATTCATTCCAGTAGCATACATTATGGGAATTGAATGGGAAGAATGCGAAAAAGTTGGTCAAGTAATAGGAGTTAAAACCATGGTCAATGAGTTTGTGGCATTCTCTAGACTAGGAGACATGAACTTATCTGTAAGCAAACTGTAAAACTATGAAAAAATATTTGCTCATATGAATTTCTTTTTATAGGCAAGAAGCAAAGTTATTGCCACCTACGCTATATGTGGATTCTCCAATCCCGGCTCAATGGGCATTATGGTTTCCACCATGGCCACTCTAGTTCCTGAAAAGAAAGAAAACGTGACCAGAATTATTTTCAGGGCACTGGTAGGCGGTGCTTTGGTTTGTTTCATGACCGCTTGCATTGCTGGCGTTCTTATGCCCGATAGTGCTTTGGATATGGACAGTGTCACAACCGATAACTCAACTATTAATTATTAAAAATTAAATAAGCAGCCAGTTTTCATGACAAATAATTTGTTTTAAATTAAAGTTAGGAATGAAACATTGTATGGTATTTGTGTGTAAAATATCAGGGATTTTGTGAAAATTTTATTTAACCTTTTTTTTTGTGTTTTACATAGGTAGGTAGTTTGTTTTCCTATAAATTATGACTTAATAGTGAGAATTTGCAAGTTCCTTGCACAGTGTCGAAAACTTTATCCAAAATTGTATTATGTTGTTTCAATATATGTTATATTATTTGCATTTAATATTTTGTCTTTAGTTAAGTATTTTTTCTTTTATTTAGCCTATTTTAAATATGTTTGTTTTCAAAATATAAATACTTATTCACATACATAATTTTTGTATGTTTGTTTAGTTTTATTTATCAACCAAAAAAAAATAAAAATTGTGGAATTTCAATCGTAGTTTTCATTTAAAATATTGGAAAATCGAAAGCTTTGATTGCATTCTAATGAGCAAATTAATATAATGCATAAACCGGATCACTTAAAAGTTTTTATTATCGAAATAATTAGAAAAAAAAGCAAATTTAGTACGCAAAATATTTCAGCAGAGGTACAACAAGGTCATATTCCAACTCGACAGAGGGATAAGAAATTATATTGGTTTATGATCCATTAAAATCTAAACAGAAATGTTCAAGTAGTGTGTGATTTTACTGTATTGATTGTCATTGTGATGTTCATACTTAGTTATTAATTAATTCAAGATGGGGAATGTATTTTCGTCTTGTAAGTACCTATCTTCATACTAATGGGGGACATAAATCACATGACTTTTAACATTTAAAATGTTTCTGTTATCATAATATGAGGGTTCCAAATCGCGAAAAAGGGCATGCTACATTTGCCGCATGACGTTTGACGTCACATCATCTATCACAATCTATTTTTATCATAATTTGAATCACATAAACTTTGCATTTTACTTCATCATTTTCCAATGTACTTAATGATTATTTTTATGAAATTTCCTTATTGTTATTTACTTTATATATTTCTTGTAAAGGACTAGTTAGCAATAGGTAAAGGTATTATAGTGAAAACACAAATCCAATAATCCAATTTAAATTTCTATACCTAGGTCTTTCCTATTTTTCTTTGATAAACCATCCAATTTATTACACTGTACTTATCTAAAATTCTTATTCAATTATCAATCTAAATAATATAAACAACAATTTAACAATTACAAAGATTCTATTCATCGAACAAAAAAGCATTATCGCTACTATTAAAATTTTTATTGTGTGTGGTCTATTAGAAGAAGATTAGCTATTTTCAGATCAATTAAATACATAAGCATTCATGGGACAATAATTATTTCAAATTCAATCAAATCAACACCGAAATCTGCCTTATGTTAATTCCGACATAGATAACTTTCAAATTTGCAATTATTGCTAATAAAATTTGCAAATTTTTTGCTCACGCAGTATAAACAAAGTATAAGATAATAGTCGCCCTATAATAACGAATAAATGATGAAATTTGGACTGCGCACTTATGATTCGTACAGTTTCGGTTGAGTAGCCTCGTTTGTGTGAGATAACACTAGATCTTGAAACTCTGAAAGTGCTTACAATTAATTTTAGAAATGGATTTGTATAGTTTTATGACTTTCGAAGTTTTTTTGTTTGTGCCGTTTGTGGTTTATTTTTTGTTTTTCAAGAAAAATGAAGGAAGGAGTTTGTATTCTGGACGAGGTAAGAATGTATTGACTAGACTTATACAGAATGTTTTCAACAACAGTGTTGAAGAAGGGAACACGAATTTTAAACGAGATTGTACCAAAAAGACATCTGGACAGAAATTGTTCTTCAATGATGTTCGTCTTACCAGTATCACCATTCTTATCCTCAAAGATTTCATAAACGAACTGTTGAGCCTTCTGGATGATTTACTTCCTTTCCTTTCAAACTTTGAAATCCCATTGACAGGTTCGTAGGTGGCTGTATTATTCTTAGATTTTTTTTCCTCCAACAGCTTAACATAATTAAGTATAAATGTGAATAAATTTAATATTGAATAAAAATCTAATGTAAGTAAATATAATTATTGCAGGTAGCTCTCGTTTCGTGTTGAGTGAACTATAGTTTTTTTTCTGTATATTTGTCCCAATGAGTTTCTCCTGTTTCATTGTTTTCTACTTGCACGACCCCGTCTGTCCTGCTAATCACTCTATGTGGTGTCAGTTCAGTTTAGGTTGTAAGTTTATTTTCTTTACCAATATCTTGTCACTAGTTCTGTTATTTATCTACAGCTGTATGCAACATCCTCTTTCAACTTAAACGCGCTTTTTTTAAAAATGTTTATTTTAAGAAATACAAATTTTTAAAGGTACCTACCTACCAGTTTTCAAAAGCGCTCTTAAGTTAAAAGAGGATGTTGCATACAGCTACTAGTCTTTAAATACCTATCCTACCTTATTCTTTTTTCAATCGGCCATGATCCTTAATTTCCTTGTCTATAATTTCTGTAGGTGTAAAGTAGGGTAAAGTGGGCAATTTATCTTATCTTTGAAGCGTTTTCTAAAAAATAACTCAGGAAACCGGGTCCAAGGAGTGACGAGGGCAGAGGTACTGAAAATAATATTGGATCACGTTTTTTTGGGTTGTTCGGTCCTAGCAAACATACAAACATTTATCAGAAAACAGGTGATAGGCCTTTCATCTGTTCTACGTTTAGAAATTTAGAAACACTGTATACTGCGTCTCTGTGCCGTTAAAAACTCGACGCAGGACGCAGGTAATGAGCCTTTCCTTGTCGTAGAAGTACCTATGTGGATTTCTATTATACAGTGTGATTTTTTAAGTGTGCAATATATGGGAATTTTTTTTAGTAATAGCGCAACCCAAATACAAACAAGGCCAAAAGTTGGTGTATGTCTGATAATCATATTAGGTCCACTTAGAATGATTGCAAGTCAAACAGCATACAGGGTAGCTCAAGCAATATCACAGCTGTACTGCAAAGTACCTTTATTTTAGAAAATTCAGCAAAATGTTATAGAGAAAAGTTGTTTGGAATTAAAAGTTATGCCTAAATACCAAAACATAGCCTCCTAAGATTTTTTCTATTTTCTTTCGAAAAAAATCTATAATTTCTATATTTTTTTTATTTTTTATTTCCGCCCTTAATACTTTCAAAAATTAATTAAAATCAAATCAATTTTACATAACTTTGTTCAAATTCAAGCATATTTGTGAAATTAACTCAGATTTTTAATTTTTTAAGGAATCACAAAATTCATGTTTGCTGCAATGATATTCAACACAACTTAAAAATGTCGCAATTTTTTTTTTAACAAGTTAAAACATTACTAATGATAATAGCCATATTAAAAAAACTCTCCTTAAAGTGCAAAAGTTTTATTTTATTTAGGTTAATATTAGTAGAATTTTGATATTTTTTGAGCCACCCTGTATGCTGTGTGACTTGCAACCATTCTAAGTACACCTAATATGATTATCAGACATGCACCAACTTTTGGCCTTGTTTGTATTTTGATTGTGCTATTACTAAAAAAAAATCCCATGTGTTGCACACTTAAGTAATGACACTGTACACCTTATGGAGGTTATTTAACTTGAATACCGATTAATTGCAGGCGAAACTGAGACATTTCCTGATCTCAGGTGTTCAATTTTGCCCTCTGAACGCTACTCATTTCTTGGGGGAAAGTTCCAACTTCCTGGCGGACAATTCCAACTTCCTGATGAACAGTCCTAACTTCCTGACCTTCCTGACAGACTATTTCAAATTCCTTCACGTGTCAATACTATCAATATAACCATAAAATCAATCAAAAAAAACAAATTAACAAACAGCAATAGAAAGATCCATGATGGGTACCTATACATAAGCTTGAAAGACAGAGTAGGAAATAATTTCTACACCTAAAATGCTTGATGCTCTTCATCGCCGTTTCCTCCAACTATTTTATTATAGGAAAGCCCTAACGATAGGAATTCCTTAAGCTGACATGTCTGTATATGCAAGACTGTCATTTTAAGAAATACTTATCGTTAAGGCTTCCCTAAAACAATTGGTGGAAGTGGCCATTACCGATTTAAATCATACAGTAGAATTTTTTCCCGCACCAATCCAAAATTTTATCATGACTTATCCAATTTGGTCTATTTTTTTAGATCTCTTTTATCCCATCAAGTACTTCTTTGCCAAACAAGTAGTTGAAGCTGCACAAGAAAACAGTAGGAGGGACAGGGCAAAGTTAGTAGAAAATGACATCGAACCGGAAATTAGCTTTTCATCCGAAAAGGTGAGTGAATTAGGCTAATTGAAACAATTTACGAATTTATCAATTGGTCATTTCATAGTTTATCAAGTAAGTAAGTTAGAATTTATTATTGCTTATAAAAATAAGGCAAAAAATTTTGAATCATTCAAAACATCCTAATAATGCAGATTACCCGGTTATTGCCCCTCGAAATTTTTACTAAAATTTCTAATCTCTATACTGCTACAATGGATCATTCATGGAGGAATTAAATATATATTATACATGTAAATGTATTCTTTTTATCACTAATCAGTGTTAGTGGGTTATTAAATGTTTATAATATTTAGATGATTAGTCCTTGGACGAATTAGGTATTTTAAATAATGCTTATCTAAGTATTGGTATCGAAAAAAATTAAGTTTAGATTAAAAACACATAATAATTAAATTTGCTTATTTATTACACCAACAGCTAAGGAATATCTAATTACCTAAAGTTGTTACTTTGTCTTCCTTGTATTATCAATTTGTTTTGTGTTTATTAATCAGTAGGTATCGCAAATATCCATATTATTGTTGGGGATCGGGAGTTGATCGATGCCACGAATGTTGAGTACCTGGAGTTTTCCCCGCACTCCAATCTCATACTTCGATAATTAAAACTTGGTATTGTATAAAAATGTTTCATTTATTAAAATTCTCATTGAGGGGGACACTTAGTTAAGAATGTTGAGAGGCAACCCGACTGTCCAGAGTGAAGCTCGGAATCTGAATACCTTGCCTTCAACTATCTTACACTAAGGAAGACAAGTTTGGACCTTCCTAAAGAAGGATATTCTACAATTTCGTAAAATTAACTTATCCTAACAACATTTTTTATTTAGGTGCTAAAATGTTACGAAACGTTTTTACAATCATAAACCTAAAATTAACCTAGGGGTTGTAATTCTCGCCATCTGTATTATAAAAAGGCCTGGGAAGGTACTCTGTCTTTGGCGGCAAGAGTACTTCCCATGGGCTGTATTTGACTTATTTGGTTATTATAATAATTCTTGGCGGCATCGTCTTTGAACCCTACAGTATAAAGTATTGGTATAATAAAACTTTGGGACTTAATTACACAGATGGTGGAACTTGTAGAAGAGAAAATGTAGCGAACATTAGGATTATTGATAATATAAGTAGGTAATAACAAATTCACTAGTTCACAACATTATTGTAGGAAATTCACTGCCAGACCTTCAAAGCATGCGATCAAAAAGGAAACAGTATACAATTAAGATTTACCTTAAGACCAAGCAAATTAGCAGAAGTTATATTAGTTTTAAAACTAGCAAATGGCCATCTTTATACATTTCCAAGTAAGTTGCATTAAAATGTTAACAGTGTTTAGAAACAACACAAGAATTATCCAGATAGGCATCAAGTACACTTAACCAGCGTGAAAGAAACTAGATGGAAAATAAACGGCCTAACGATAGAAAGTTTGGATCCCTACAGAAGAGTTAGAATAGTTTACAATGGACTGCTGCGATGTTTGGGCAAAATCGAACACGTTCAGTTTAATTTTATGTAAGACCATAATAATGTCCCCAACAAAATATAGTGTTAAATGTGTTTTAGTTTTAATTGTTGTTCGGCACCGAAGTTTTTTCCTGAAGATTGCGATACCAAAATGTTATCAGAAACTTTGGCAACAAGACCATGGAGGGATGCCAGCTGGAAACAATTTCTGTGAGTTTGTTGTATGTAAATTGTTTCAAAATATTTGTTGATTCTGTCATAACCTACTTTAGTACTAAAATGATGAACTTTCATATTTATTATTTCTGAAAGATTATGAATTCATAATGGTAGGTAGTTGAAATTGCCCTTTGTATAGTCCATACCACCCACCATTACTATACCTTGGAATCTTAGAACTGCAATCATAGTATAGTTGCAGTTTCCAGCTAAACTTACTGAAGATTTTTTTGGGACTAATGTTAGGTACTTCATAGATGGTACTTTTTATCATTTCATGCTTACCTTTTGCTAAATCTGTAAGCGATTAATACTGCTTACTTTTTATATTCCTTAAAAATGAGTAGGTAACTAGTTATTAATTTTCTTTTTTTTATAGAAGTGATCAAATAGATGGTTATGAACAATTCGGTTCTATGCTAGGATTTGTGAAGGGAGATTCATTTCCAGAGGAGCAGGTAAAAGAAAATATATCATGCATAGTTATGTTTTCATCCAGGAAAAACTCTATCTAAATTTTGAATATACCTAAATACTTGACCTGATTCTAGGTCCTAAACTTAGCAGCTCATAGGTCCATATACAGTGGCCCAGATAAACAGTTTTCATTAAAGAGGGACCTACAAATATTTTTGGCCGAAACCAATGGCGTCTTGGTTGCTTTGACGTTGCAATTATTTAAAGAAGAAGAATCACAGTGAGAATTTTCTTCATTGTGTTATTTAAAATCTTAAAAACTTGCACTTGCCTTTTTTGCAGATTAAATTATGGACACATATTCCATAAGAATAATATCACCGTTCCAATCACTGCCCAAGACATCAAGATTCAAAAGATTGGGAAAGATAAAATATTTCCAGATCTTTTTGTTGCACGAATAAATAGTATGTATTAATTTAATTTGATTTTCTATAAAACATACCTACCTACATCAAGAAAAATATTTTTTTAGCAAGAACAGATGAATATATCTGTGCTTTCAATCTTGATAAATCTTCAATTACCAATCACGAATATACAAATGGATCAGAAAGCATACTCATTCCAGTCGAAACAGAAATAAATGTCAGTCATGGAAAAGCACTTATGGATTTCCAGTATTATGATCAAACAAGTAAGTAATGTTGATAATAATATTTAATTTCACTGCTTATATTATCCATTATTATTAGAAGAAATAAAAAACCATCATCTCAATCTAAAGCCCATACTAAGCGAGAAAAAAGTTGAAGAACTCCCTGATGATTTTGTGGCTAATATCAAAGAGGATAATGCTAAGATTTTAGAAATCACTGGCGGAAAAGGAAATTCTTTAGCATTACTGAGCTCTCTAGGCTCAAATAATGAAGTAAGGCATGAGTTAATTAAACGAATTACATATTCACAAAACCTGTTTCAGTTTCTTGTGCCAGATGGTTTTGTAATAACTACCAACGCCTTCAAATATCAGTTGGCCCAATCTAAGCTACTACGCAATGCTGTAGAGAAAGTGAACGATGTTTTTTGTGGTATTAGCGAGGGAAAAAAAGACGAAGTTTGTGCTTTGTGAGTAAACTTATTCAAGCCTCTAACAATTTTTACAGCAATTCTATCTTTAGAGCAGTACGTCTTTTCACCAATGAACCAGTCCATCCAGAAATAGCGTCGATTATTGAGGAAAGCCTAGGCAAAATGCCAAAAAATGGTGAAATTGAAGTAGATAGATGGGCAGTAAGATCGTCAGCAGTAGGTTGGTTCTAAAATAACAATATATTTCAAATAATGACATCGTTATTTTATTAGGTGAAGATTCAGAAGAACTATCAGCCGCAGGACAAAACGAAACAATATTGGGTGTCGCAGAAAACAACATCTTACGAGCAGTTTCTAAATGTTGGGCATCTCTTTTCACGTATCAGAGCGTACAATATCGTTGGTAATATTTTTTTGAAGCTTTTTTTAAATCTTTATTAATAAATTAAACTATTTTAGGCAACATGGTTTAGCAATTAAAGCTGACATGGCGGTTGTTGTACAAAGAATGGTACCGGCAGAAGCAGCTGGAGTTTTGTTCACTTGGCACCCGACCACTTCAAACCCTTCTCAGATGGTCATAACTTCGAATTTTGGTTTAGGAGAGGTAATATTGCCTTTTAAATTAGTTTCCAAAAATATACATAATAATTTTTATAGAGTGTTGTTTCTGGAAAATCTGAACCAGACACTTTTGTTTTAAATCGAACATACGATGGGGTGGTAAGTTTGAATCATCAAACACTTGGAGCAAAAGATAAGGTACATAACTGGTTCTTTTTGTGGTCAATTAAATGTTTATAAATTGTGGTATTCTAGATGATAACTCTAGCTGAAAATGGTGTCAAAGAAGTAAACTGCAAACATGAGAACAGTTTTGTATTTGTTGATGATGATAACCAAGATGGTAAGGTTTATTTCAGATTCAAATAAGAGTTAGCTGAGTTTAAGCAAGAGGTCTCATCTTGTTAAATGAAAAGTCGCTCGTCTCATAACAAGAAAACATGGTTCCAGAACTGAAACTTAAGCCAAAGACAATTTCACTACAAAGTGGTAAGGTTGTCTTTGAATCTGCATAAAAATGTTTTTTGTAGCAAAGGAAATATTCAGTTTGAATGAAGAACAAGTTTTAAGATTGGGTCGAGTGGGAGTGATGCTAGAAGAGGCATTTGGAGGTCCAAGGGATATAGAGTGGGCTTTTTTCAAGGTAAGTAGATATTAATATCGAATGTGTCCCGCTTCTGGGTGTTTCACTCGTTAGGATTCCAACTCAAAGCACCTCATCAAGGTTTAAAGCTTTTATCAATAGGGATTTCAGATTATTTGCGATAAATCATGGTGTGATTTAAAGGGTAAACCCTAAACAACATTCTTGGTCTAAATAAATAAACCTATACCCTCAATGTGTAGTTTAAGTAATATCGTTTCAAACACTCTGGCAATGTCGATGAGGTTTCACACAACTTCAATAAACGTTAAAAAGTCACTTCAAAATTGTTATCATTTCGTTTTTTTTTTTCTAGAATGACTTATATTTGCTCCAATCTCGACCAATAACTACTCTAAACGCCTGGACTGACTTTGAGCTGACGCATGAACTTGATACGCCTTGCTTAACAGAAAACAGTTTGTTTACCATGGCTAATGCTGGCGAAGTAGGTATATTAGAATTTCAATGAATAGGTACTTACACTATGAAAATTTTAGGTTTTTCCTGTTGCAACCAGTGCCTTGAGCAGAACTTCAACTCTAAATAAACTAGACGAAGGAATGCAGAGATGTATCTATAGCACAGTGGATCGGTACTTTTTCAAGGCTATGTGCATCTTCCACCATCGTGTTATGCTTGATTGCATAACTGTGAGTAATATTTTATTTTACTGAAAATATAGGTATTATATTATTTTTGAAATTATAGACAGTTTTCAAACAATCGAGAAATCCTACTATTGGTATGGATAGCAAGGTATTGGATTTGGCCATATTTGGACATCCAGTGGTAAATGAGAAAATAAGTCTGATGGTGCGAACTAGGTTGGGACCATTGACTTGGTGGGAGGGCTTTCAGGAAAAATCCGCAAGATTGTAAGAACAACCTATTTATTTTATTTTTTAATTCCAACACAGAGGTAGGTACATCTAGTTATGGCCATTTGCACCGCTATCACTTAAGGGATATTAAGGGATATTTAATTTAAGTGGAACTTTTGAATGTGACTTTTGTTTCTACGAGAGTCACATTCAAAGCTCCACTTGGATTAAATATCCCTTAAGTTATAGCGGTACAAATGGCCGTTAGTCCTGTAGAGCCCGCCCTAAGTATCACTTTTTAAGATGTTAATTGTTGGCGAGCGATTTCCAATTTGTTGCAGATTTTTACTGGGTGGCTACAGTGGTAGGGTTCAAAATTGCTAATATAAGGGTGGGAATAACTACACAAATCTTCTGCATTTAAAATAGTTGAAATATCTTTATTTATTTAATGTGGTGAACAACATTGTTTACTCCAAGACTTTATACTTATCTCTTGAAATACCTAGTAACTTTCATTTCAAAAACATTTCATCAGATCCTTTATTTATTTTCAATCCCTTCTTTACTATTATACTCTTTACAAGTTTTTACGATTTACTAGCATAAAAATAATTCAAGCAGTGAATGCATATTACTGATAGTTAAGTTATAGTTCAAATATTTAAAGTTCACAAATTAAAGTTCACACATACAATGTTCAATTCTTTTCCTAGGGGTGTTTTTACTTGTCGTCGCGACGCGTAATTTAATTTACTACAGATCTCGAATTTAATGCTCGATTTCTTTTAACTACTTCACGTTCGCGATTAAAACTCTCTTTTACGAATTGCCATTTGACCAGGATCTTAGACTATTTTTTTTACATCGAAAATAATTAATTTGTCGGTTGGAACTCCACTGGTTTTCACGATATCAGAATTTTTCCACTCCGAGAATTTCCTATTATCGTAACTTTGTTTAGAATTACGCCGAAGCCTACTGTTCACTACATTTTCAGAAACTGACTTATTACTCGACTTTCAACTCAAGTTTTTAACTGTCTGTTTCTAACTGACCGTTCTTACTTTCTTACTGACTGTCAACTGCGTGGATATGCCCTTTTCATGCGCGATTTTTACGTCATTTCTGGCCTCGGGTCCCACGTTTTTAGAAATTTTTTTCTTTGTGAATCTATAAACCGAAAAAATTTGCAGGTGTTCGTTTTTCAAATTTTTCGGTTCAAAATCATATCAAAGATCCCATTATCGTAACTTTGTTTAGAATTAGGCCGAAGCTTACTGTTCTCTACATTTTCGGAAACTGACTTATTACTCGACTTTCAACTCAAGTTTTTAAGTGTCTGTTTGTAACTGACCGTTCTTACTTTCTTACTGACTGTCAACTGCGTGGATATGCCCTTTTCATGCGCGATTTTTACGTCATTTTTGGCCTCGGGTCCCACGTTTTTAGAAATTTTTTTCTTTGTGAATCTATAAGCCGACAAAATTTGCAGGTGTTCGTTTTTCAAATTTTTCTTTTCAAAATCATATCAAAGATCCTATTATCGTAACTTTGTTTAGAATTAGGCCGAAGCTTACTGTTCTCTACATTTTCGGAAACTGACTTATTACTCGACTTTCAACTCAAGTTACTAACTGACCGTTCTTACTTTCTTACTGATTGTCAACTGCATGGATATGCCCTTTTCATGCGCGATTTTTACGTCATTTCTGCCCTCGGGTCCCACGTCTTTAGAAATTTTTTTCTTTGTGAATCTATAAGCCGAAAAAATTTGCAGGTGTTCGTTTTTCAAATTTTTCGGTTCAAAATCATATCAAAGATCCTATTATCGTAACTTTGTTTAGAATTAGGCCGAAGCTTACTGTTCACTACATTTTCGGAAACTGACTTATTACTCAACTTTCAACTCAAGTTTCTAAATGTCTGTTCCTAACTGACCGCTCTTACTTTCTTACTGACTGTCAACTGCATGGATATGCCCTTTTCATGCGCGATTTTTACGTCATTTCTGGCCTCGGGTCCCACGTTTTTAGGAATTTTTTTCTTTGTGAACCTATAAGCCGATAAAATTTGCAGGTGTTCGTTTTTCAAATTTTTCGGTTCAAAATCATATCAAAGATCCTATTATCGTAACTTTGTTTAGAATTAGGCCGAAGCTTACTGTTCACTACATTTTCGGAAACTGACTTATTACTCGACTTTCAACTCAAGTTTCTAACTGTCTGTTTCTAACTGACCGTTCTTACTTTCTCTCTGACTGTCAACTGCATGGATATGCCCTTTTCATGCGCGATTTTTACGTCATTTCTGGTCTCACGTTTTTAGAATTTTTGTTCTTTGTGAATCTATAAGCTGACAAAATTTGCAGGTGGGCGTTTTTCAAATTTTTCGGTTCAAAATCATATCAAAGATTCGAGCCCGGATGCCGCCATGATAAATTATAATTCCGTTCAAGGAGACACCTTAAAATTGAATTTTTATTTTTCTCGGTACGAATACTTCGTCTCTATTTAAATTCCTGCTTCTCAAAAGATGCCGCCAGCAATAAACTATACATTTGGATCAAGGCAAAACGTTGAATAGATTTAATTAATAAAATAATTTTGTCTAAGTCATATAATCCCCTAAGAAATGCTCTCTTAGGACTCTTACATTTATGGGAATAAAACTTCAATTTAGATCTGTCTGTGAAATAGTACTTTTTAGTTATTTTAGCTATCTCAAGCATTTAAAAAGCGATCCAAATGTATTGCTTGAAGTACTCAAGATATTGAGAGACTTCGAATAATTCTCGTTTCGTCTTATAGTGTTTTTTTAACTACATTTTACTACATTTTTTCCTGTTCGACACTCAGAGTGTACTTTCAAAATCTTCTAGTAAGGAAGCTCGGAATGTCGTTAAAATAGCCAACGCAGCCGTCGAGTCCGCAAAAGCCTTGGATTTTGAAATAAATGACGATGACGATGTTGAAACAATTCATCAAAAAATTCTCTGCCACGAAAATAATCTTACTGTTCCATTCCAAGGTCACGCCAGTACGACTGCGGCTTCAGTTTTCTGGCAAATGGTATGCATGATGGTATTAGTGGGAAGAGAAAAAGGTAAGTACCATCTTAAGCCCTAAAGTATTTCTACAATTATTTTTAGAGCTCAACGTAGATCATTATGCTGATTTTGCCAATATTTTATCATCCTGCGATGACGTCGAATCAGCTGAAGTGCCTCTGTTTTTAGAGAAAATTGCAAACATTATTAGAGATGCAGGGTAATATATCATAATACATAAAAATTAAATCAATTTTTTTTTTCGTGCAGATTTTCAGACGAATTTTGCTCAATCGAACAAATAAATGGAGTGAATTGGCTCGAGACAAATTGCCCAGAAGCCTATAAAGTATTTGAAGAATTTTTATCCAAGCACGGACACAGGTGTTTGGGAGAAGTAAGATAAATAAAATATTTTTCAAATAATAAATAATACATAACTATTCAATTATCAAAGTTTGAAATGATGGAAGAACCTTGGGGTATAAATCCATCTCTAGTTATTCCCATGATACAAGCCAATATTAAACACGGACACGAAACAACCAAAGAACACAAAACTATTCGAGAAGTTGTTAGTAATTTAGTTTCTCGTGTTAAATTTCCAGCAACGTAAGTTTTGTTACTTTTTCATAAAACTTGCAGTGTAGGTAATTATTACAAATTTTAGCTTTATACTAAGGTGGGCACTATCATATCTAAGAATAGCTGTTGGAAAAAGAGAACAATCAAAATCGGCAGCTATTTTAGTCATACACAAAGCAAGATTGGCATATAGGAAACTGGCTTCGAAAATGGTAATGGAAGGAATTTTGCCCTCAGAAAGTCTTGTATTTCATTTTACCAAACATGAATTAGAGCAAGTGATCAAGAGGAAAAATCCACTACTAATCAACAAGTAAAGTTTCTGAAAAAAACATGAGCAGATTATTTTTAAATTTGTTTCAGGGCTTTAAGACGACAACGATTGCACGAAAATTGGAAAGAACTCAAATTCCCCGAACTAAGTTATGGTCTCCCTGAACCAGAAAAAGACTTTACTCCAGTAGAACTTCTGCCAGGCACAAAATGTATTGGCACTCCTGTTTGCACTGGTAGTGTGCAAGCAAGAGCATGTGTCATTACTCATTTGGATGAAATAGAAACTCTAGAAAAAGGTTTTTATATGAGATTTTAAGTAAGCTCAATTTTCATTATCTGTTTTTGCAGGCGACATTTTAATTACATACTGCACTGATATAGGTTGGTCTCCATATTTCCCGCTACTCTCTGGAGTTGTAACCGAATTGGGAGGCTTGGTATCACATGGTAAGAAGTTGTTTGTATAAATCACTGTAGTTGTATCTTAAAATTGAATTCCATATAGGTGCTGTTGTCGCAAGAGAATACGGATTGCCTTGCATAGTAGGAGTAAAAAATGTTACGAAAATATTCAGGACGGGTGATTTGGTACATTTGAATGGAAAAACTGGCGAATTGGGGAAAGTGGAATGAAAATTGTAATATTTAACTTGAAATAAAACTTTTATCAAATTCTAAAGTGTTTTAGTTTTCATTAGGTTGATGGCTCAGAAAGCTAGATATCTAAGTAATCTCTCCATCCTGTGTTTCGCTTCTTGTTTCTGGTTTTATTGTTAATTTCGTGATGCTGCTTTGCCATTGGGTCTTTCAAAAGTTTCCTGTGATGTGGTAACAGATTCAAGTCACATAAGGATCGTTTTTAAAAGCTGATGAAAATTCGAGAAAGAAGTTCGTACAACGTAAAGTTAAATGAAGAACAAAATAAAATTTCCTTTTCTCATTTGTGACATCACGAGGTTCCTGAACTTGAAGATGAACCCATCAGAAAGCAAGGCTACAGTAATTAAATTGTGGAGAACAAGTGACAGATTCATCTAAAAAAAAAAACATTATTTATAGTCGACGCGAGTTTCGGCATCCTTTGATAGATGTGGCCTTACATTTTTACGCATCTGTTGACCCCAATAATCAAGGAAACTGTGACATTTTCGGTCGAAAAAACAATTACATTTCTTAGAAATAGCGGGAGAGAAACTCACGTAAGTACCTATTCATTGAGATCGAATGATGGAACTGAAACTATTTAAGTAAATTACAATCAGGTAGGAAGAAATAAGTAATCAGTCTACAGTCGACATTCATCGAATATTAGGAATAGAGACAATAGATGGTAGTAATTAGACAGACAAACTTTATGAATGAAAGTATCAGTTGACGGTGGCGAATCAAAAACTTTAAACAGTTAAACTACAGTTTTATAGATTAACAATATTGTCACAACCCCTATACGTTTCATCCTGGGACGTCACAACAGGAGCGTGACTTGGGGGCGAAGCTGGGGTTCAGGTAGAGAGAAACTCACTTGGTATAGGTATAATAAGATGTGTATTGATTAATAATAGTATTACCCTAGAAATGGTATCATGACGTCTCTTCTACGGAGGGACGTACTACTTATGGGCCACTCTGTATTAATTATGTGCCCTCTGTAAACTTGGCGTGATTGAAGACTGAAACTAGGTTTGAGACAGGTCCAGAAGGGCGTTTCTCATTAAAGGTAGTTTGCACTGGACCTAGTGTGCGGCGTTCAATACTCCCAGAGGGGCGTTTCCCATTAAGGGTAGTTTGTACTGGGAGGAGACTTAGCTAGAGGGGCTTTTCCCATTAGAGGTAGTTCGCACTAGCTTTAGTCTGCCGGTAATGGATTTCGGCGCTGTATTTATACCAAATAAATGCTGACTCGTCGACACACTTTAGTAAAATTGATGTACAGAGTGGTATTTACTTAAGTAGTTGACAATATGAAAACTGAATTTATTCTCCATGTAGTAGTGTTTCCACTTGAGGCTGGAGATTTACCAAATCGACCTATATACTGATTTCGTTATTAGCTAATCATTTTAGAAGTAGGTATTTCTTTAAAACAAAAACAACACGTTTTTATAAAATATTCTCTATTTTCCAATATGTAATTCAATACGATAATTCTTTGACTTTGTTATTGGGGCATTCAAAATTTTGATTAGTTTGCATTAATTTATTTTTGGACGGATAAACATCTATTCAATTTTGTAGTGGAGGGTCCTTTACTACAAAAAAAATCCAATAAATAAAGACTTATAGTAAAATTGCACAAAAAAACTAGCTTTAAGACAAATATACACATTAATTAACACATTAAAAAGGCTTACGTATTTACAATAAAATAAATAAACATCTAGAAGAAAAACTATACCTATACAATCAAAAACTACTGACTTCAATTAGATAATTTTTTGGTAAATTTCTATTAAAAAGTTTCAGAATTAAATTTTATCATACCTAAATGCATTCAAATGAGACTTAACGGCAAAGCTTTCTGAGTTTGTATCATTTTTCCATATTTTTTAAAAGGGCCCGCCAACTATATGGATTTAAGAGGATTAATAATTATTTAGTGACAATTCTCTAATATTAAATAAATTAATATTTACAGTATTCAATCCAAGATTTAAACGTTATTTATGTAAAAATTACGTAGGAAATGCAATATTAATTTAAGTAAGTACGTGTACACGTTTTGTTAATACTTTTCTGTAAAAACCTTTTTCTTAAAATCACAGTTTTAGTTAAAACGTAAATATAATTAGCTAAAAATTAGTCTAGTTTTTAATAAGTACATACACACACAATCTTCACTATGTTGCCGCTAAACTGAATTGGGTTTAATAGAGACAAGTCTACTAAACCCATAGTTATATTTTATAGATTCCAGGCTTGAAAGGCGGTGATGTAAAAAATATAAAAATTTATTGGCGAAAATTAAAAAAAACAAAAAAACTTCTGAAAAACTAGGATAATATAAAGATGCTCTTTTATCATAAAAGTTTTATGTTGAATCCTAATTATTTCAAAAGAGGGCACGTTTACACCTCTGATTCAAAATAAACTTGGTAGGTAACTATAAAGTTATCTCACAACAAAATAGTAAGTGCTCAAATCTCTGGTAACAATAATAATAACTGTTTTGCCTAATAAAAAAGCACATAGAGTGCAACCAAATGCTATCGTTGCAAAAAGAAATTCAACAGTCTTCTCCTGGGCGGTGGTACTGGCGTTTCTTGCCGTTCAATTTTCCTCACTTTCATCTCGTGACTGGATAGCTTATTTTTCAGCTGTTCATCTAGAAGCTCGTGCATGTCCATCTAAAAATCCACAAATTATAAAGTTTTTGTTAAGTGTTCTTATTCAGGATAACATACCTGCCACTGCTCCAATTGCTGACTCATTTCCACCTTTTGCTGGATCACTTCCAATAGCTGACTGTTAGCTTGCATCAGTTCAACTCTGGTTTTGGCCAATTCGACTTCCGCCTTCGTACGTCTTTGCACAGCCATGTCTCTGTCTTCTCGAGCTTTCACCACCACATCGTCATGGGCCAAAGAGGTATCGTTGGCGTCGTGCCGGGCTCTGTCTCTCTCTTCCAGAGCTGCTTCGAGTTCTACTTCACAAACCGATGCCTAGAAATTGATAATATGAATACATTGACCATAGGAATTATTACATACTATGAATACAATGACATATGATCGCTATCCTTGTCCATAATTTCATTGATATTGTGATGCCAAGGAGATAAGAAGAATAGTAAGACGAAGCAGAATACAAAGAAGAAACTTTTTAAAATGTCATTGGAAAAAAACGACCTAAGGTCTTGAGACACGGTACTCACATCTTACTACAGAAACTGGCACTTATAACAAAGATACTCTTTTAAGAGACCTGATAAAAAAACTTAAAATTCGCTAATTCTAGAAGAATTTTGGGAAAGTTGAAAGAACTTTATTCTTTCATTTGGAACTAGATATAGAGAAACATGATCATGAAGTATTTTCTTTTTGTTTCCTTTATCTTCTGTCACCCCATTCATGGTTTTCTTTGGTTTGTATGATTCCAGAGTGGAAAAACCTGCATTTCAAAGTGAACAACTGCAGAGTCGGATGACGCATTCAAATCTAGAGCTGGAACGACTTCTAGTGCTTCATTCTTGCACTCATATTCAATAACTCTGATGAATCCTGGGGCATTTTTCATTTTACTGCAACTAGCAAATTCAACTCTTTCTTTCTTGGTGGCAGATTGAAGAACCACGTATCTGCGGCTTATGTTAGGTACTTCAAAATCTTTCTCATGACTAGGTAAATTATCACAACCATTTTGTTCAATCAAATTATTAAATAATGCTACAATATTGTTAAAGAAAGACCTCATCCAGAACTACGCATTCTTTAATCCTACCAAGACAACTAACCACAGGAGTACAATAACTTTACTTACTTTACTACTTAGCTCGTTCAGCCTATCCATCCTTTTCTGAAGCTCCTCATCCCGCTCCTGAATTTCTCTTCTCGCTTGCTCCAGTCTCTCAAGCAATCTCACTACGTCTGTGTCCAAGACTAATCCTACAAGTTCTTGAGCTACCTGAATATACAAACAATAAATGAATAAATTGAAACTGGTTCCAAATGGGAAAACTTGCCTCGCTCAAAAGCCCAGGCGAAAACCGACTGCTATCCTCCAACGAAGCTGTAGAACAATCGGAATGCAGTCCGCTATCGTCGTCCTGGTGGCTTTTCAGTTGTTGCACCAGCGATCTTATTTGACGGTAGACTGACATGCATTCTTGGCTCAAAGTGGGTTCGGAGATATCCATTTCTGCGAGAAGCGATCGGTGGTCACCTTAAGGTAGACGAAGAGGGTTTGCGGTTAGGAACCCGTGAGTTAGTAACATTTTTATTTAAATGTGGATTATGAGTTATGATGAATGGTAAATGTATTCAAGTGATTATGAATAAATAGAATTATTTAAATATGATGTATCATGCAGGAGTAACATGCGATATTACATTTGTAGAGTTGTGAACATGGAACATGGATGTCACCACCAAAAACTTACCATGCAATCGTTCCTCTATTGATAATTTCTCTTGTGGGAGTGAATATTCTTTGACACTTTGCTGATATCTGTAAAAAGAATATTATTGCAATAAACCTATACTCAAAGGTACCTAGGGTATAATCATATATCATGACATTGTGACCACATGAGAAGATTTTGCTCAATCAGCTTTAAGCAAGATTCTTTCACAGAATATGATAATATTGTGAGTGGACTTTGTCTTCAGCAATGATGAGAAGGAGGAGTAAGGAGGCGTAAATCTTCACAAGCCATTGGAAACCGGAATGTTGAAGCTTCCTGACAAAATCGTCACCTGTATAAAATGGAATTTGAATGTCTTATTGGTGGAAATGTTTGAACACATAAAACTAAGAGAAATTTGGCTTCAACCAGGATGAGAGGTTTGCATAAACAAAGTTATGACGGAAAGGAGAAGACTTTCCTTTCCAACCCAGAATTGAGTTGACGTACCTACACTAGCCAGCGCATTTTCTGTAACTGATCACCTATGATATTTGCACTAAATTAAATTAATATGGCTTCAATCCTATTGTCACATGATAAACACTACTTCAACTGCAAGAAACCATTATGGACCCTAACAAAACCTTAATATAGTTTAGAAGTTGCTTCTTATAAAACAAAACAAAAATGTCAACCTACCTAATATCCTGTTCTCTAGCATGCCTTTCCAATAAAAGTATCCTATCAGAAGCTTCTTCAAGGGCCATCGCTAAATGATCACGTTCTTGTGCAGCGCCTCGAAGTCTCCTTTCCAACTCTTTATTTTTATCGGCCACCAATTCCAGTTCATCTCTCAAACCGTCTACGCTACTTAAGTGTTGCTGTAAGCTAGATTTTCCTAAAGAGATCTGTTCCTTATAACTATCTAATTGTTGCCTAAGTTGTGTTTCTACTGACTGTGCTTCTTTTAGCTGTTGGGTGAGTCTTGAGTTTTGGGCAGTTAATTCTTCCAACTAAAATAAAGCATAGGTATTAGAACTATTTTTCATTTACATATATAAACTGCTTATTACCAATTGACTTTTATCCCTCTCCCACTGTTTTAATAGATTCTCCTTTTGCGTTAATTTATCTTTGACTTCTTTGAGGTCGTTTTCTAACTCTAATATTCGAGCGTCCAGTTCCGATTCTTTGTTGGTAAGTTTTTTTCTTAAGACATGCCTGTCCTGTTCTACAGCCTGAAAATAAAACAGAATTGTTTAAAATCTTCGACCTTTATCAAAATCGATTTATAAAAAGCCGTGACCCAGGTTTTAGTGGAAAACATTAAAAAAAACAATCAATAAAGGTGGGTTGTTTTTATTTCATTCGCTTACGACATATAGGTACCTATTTGTTTCATTATCATATAGACGGAAAGAGTCGATAATTTCATTGTCAGACTGCAAAACCAGCCAATCCAATTATTACTTATTGAGAGGTAAAATTTTGCACCAAGGTGAACGTGTTAATATTATGTCTATGCGGGTTGGAAAGCAGATACAGCCCTAAATACTTAATTTTCTAAAAAAAAAAATGTGACTATTTTTACACTAAAACTTTGTTGTTGAAAAATTCCAACACGAAAAACTAATTTACCCTCGCCCCTTTCTGATTTATTTCCTACTGACAGACATCTAATAAATTTTAGGCCTCCAAAAGTCAGAAAAATCCAGGACTTGTCTTCTTGTATAACTTATGGTTCTATAAAAAGATTAGTTATATCTATAGTGGAAATGGTTTGTTTTTGGGTCTACGATTGAATTGTGTTTGTTGCATCAGATTAAAAACCAATCTCAACACACACAAGAAGGAATTGGAAAAAGAAATTAATTAAAACCGCATTTATAAGCGGCACAGCTAAAATACAGGAAGTATTTTATGCCACCATTTAAGTGATACGTGAAGATATGCTCGATTTCCTTTTGTTTTGATTCAAGATGCGCTGATATGGACAAAAACAGTTATTGTAAATTAACAACTGCATAGTTGTCATATAATTATCTAATTAAAAAAAAATTGTTGTTGTAAAAGCTCTTGCTTTTAGTAGTTGTTTCATTTTTACTACTGGTTTTCGTTTTACTCCATTTGCTGCAGTTTCAGTAAGTACTGATATATCATTGACATTTTGTCATTCATCCACACAAAAATTAGGAAAAGTTATGAATCATTTTGCCACCCACCAAGGCTGAAATCAGATCCCATATCCTCTCCCAATTAGCCACTTAAAATAGTGAGGAAGTATCAAGGATTTATTGCTTTAGGGGACAAAACTATACTTCCGAAAACGGAAGTTCCTTTGCCATTATCTATGGTGGGATCTATTTGCACGCCCTTTGGGGGATTTTTCAATTTATTTTGGTCTATTCATTCATACACGCAATTGATGCGTGGGTGTATTGTGGGATTTGCTTTAGACTCGTGAGAAAATGCAATTTTTCTAATCGAAAGAAACACAATATGTATTTCAATAGGTTTCATCAATCCTGCGTGTGATTGTGTCTTTTTGGACCAAATTTATAAATGGTTTTCTTTTCAGAATTAGGTACTTTTTATATAACACGTAATAACCTGATACTTCTACTATTTACTTGCTTTTTCCATTTTCCCTTATAAGTTTGGGCTTGTAGAAGTGCCACTTATTTTTCTACATATTAAGCAAGGCTTCAGCTTCAACCTACTGAGGTTTCGTAAAGAAAAGCCAAGAATAAAGAAACTGTGATTTTTCTAAGCTGATTAAGATGACACTTCTACCATATATGACAGCATCCAATTGTATTTTCGATTTTCCTCTTATGATTTTGGGCTTGTGGAAGTGCCACCTATTTTTCTACATATTAAGCAAGGCTTCAGCTTTATAGTCCGTTGCATGGTTCTTGACCTATGGCTACTGAATAGACAGAGGGGACAATGGGCTATTGCTGCGTTGTCAGTTGTCATATCGATAATATTTATTAATACATGAAAATTGCAATAAAATTTCCTTCACTTTCATGTAATAATAAATATTATTATTGATATAACAACGCAGCAATAGCCCATTGTTCTTTCTGTCTATTCAGTAGTCGTAGCTCAAGAACCATGCAACGGACTATAACATACTGAGATTTCGTAAAGAAAAGACAAGAATAAAGAAACTGTGATTTTTCTAAGCTGATTAAGATTTTACTTCTACCATATAATACAGCATCCACTTGTATTTTCGATTTTCTTCTTATAATTTTGGGCTTGTGGAAGTGCCACTTATTTTTCTACATATTTAGCAAGGATTCAGCTTCAACATACTGAGATTTCGTATAGAAAAAGCCATGAATAAGGAAACTCTGATTTTTCTAAGCAGATGAAGATGATACTTCAACCATATAATACAGCATCCACTTGCATTTTCGATTTTTCTCTTATAATTTTGGGCTTGTGGAAGTGTCACTTATTTTTCTATATATTTAGCAAGGCTTCAACTTCAACATACTGAGATTTCGTAAAGAAAAGCCAAAAATAAAGAAACTGTGATTTTTCTAAGCTGATTAAGATGATACTTCTACCATATATGACAGCATCCAATTGTATTTCCGATTTTCCTCTCATAATTTTAGGTTTGTGGAAGTGCCACTTATTTTTCTAAATATTCATCAATGCTTCACCTTCAACACTGACATTTCGTAAAGAAAAAGCCAAGGATAAAGAAACTGTGATTTTTTTAAGCTGAGTAAGATGATACTTCTACCATATAAGACAGCATCCACTTGTATTTTCGATTTTCCTCTTATAATTTTGGGCTTGTGGAAGTGCCACTTATTTTTCTACATATTAAACAAGGCTTCAGCTTCAGCATACTGAGATTCTGAAATTTCGTAAAGAAAAGCCAAGAATAAAGAAACTGTGATTTTTGTAAGCTGATAAAGATGTTACTTCTACCATATAATACAGCATCCACTTGCATTTTCGATTTTCCTTTCATAATTTTGGGCTTGTGGAAGTTCCATTTATTTTTTTAAATCATATGGGCGAGGCTTCAGCTTCAACATACTGAAATTTCATAAAGAAAAACCCAAGTATAAAGAAACTGTGATTTTTCATCGACATTATGGATAAGCTCCTGAGACCTGAAAGGTTTTGATACTGATCCCAACTCATCAAATGCAGTGAAGGAATAATGTCACTGGAAAATTAAATTCCAGAACTTCATGTCGTCAGTAAAGGATGTAGAGGGAGCACAAAAGCTGCAGCTGCTCACAAACTATGCAAGTCACAACATGTTCGGATAGGTACGTTTCTGAAGCAAAAACCTACGCTGCTATGAGTATCTTAGATAACATCTATGTAAAACCTCAAAATGAAGCATTTGCAAGACATATTCTCTTTACGTGGAAACAGCAACATGGATGAAACATGGAAAAAAGTAATCTAACTTTAGATGAAGCAAGATCATAAGCTTTATCTCTTGCAAAGCATTGTGTGTTGTCAACCTCAACATTCTTGATCATCAGTATGCAAACGTAAAAGTTTCGGTTCTACCAGACCTCTGTGCTGATAATAGGTCTGTTTTCACAGAAATCACAAACCAGTCAGAGTAGGTTTGCGTTTGTTCGTTTTTCCGATGGCAGAGAAGATACTGTCAATCTAAGACATCTAGCACCACGTGGAAGTGCACCTGAATTTAATGACGATGATGATAGTGAAAATCCATTTCAATCTCGTAACGAACCAAAACAAGAAATATAAACAAGATGCACAAATACCTGATAATCAGCATGATGATCCGGAAGAAAATCCACACAATGTTGATCCGGAAGAAATCCTCACCGACCCAGAAGAAACCGTCAGTCTCCAAAGTACTTGACAGATTATGTTTGTTAAGCTTATGCTTAATTTTGTCGATTAAAGCCTTATTGTTGGGGTATTTGCATTACTACATTCCAATGAAGAGTTATTCCTGGAATGAATTTTTCTGTTTGAATCATCTATCTCCAGTCATTGTGAATTGCATTTGGAATAACGATTCTTACGTTCGACCATGTTTTCCTCAGAAAAACTAGAATTATGGTATTATTTCAGAATCAAGCAATATGGGAATCTTTCTGGATAACAACTAATATAAAAAAATCTATTTGTTTGGAGTATGGGGATCCATTAAGCCGGATCCAGACTATGTAACAAAACAAGTTAAATAACAAAGTTTTATAACTTGTTAGAGAATTTTGAATAATAGTTATTTACATTACAAGTGCGTTTATGAACATGATTACGATAACGAGTGTGAAAGATTAGAACGACGAGGTCGTAGACCGAGTCGTTCTAATCACACGAGTTTTGTAGTCATGTTTAAACGCACGTGTGATGTACAACTTTTTATCTACAAAGCGAAAAATAAGAATTTTTTCTCAATCATTTTCGTTTATTAGTCGTTGTATACCTTCATTTTACCTTTACAGGTTTACCTTTGACATTTGTCAAATCACCAAAAATAGTTGTGTTATGAATTCATAACCTTGTCCATAACACCACTAGTTGTGTTATGAATTCATAACCTAGTCCATAACACAACTAGTTGTGTTATGAGCCTCATGACATAACTCAAATACTGGAAAAATAATTATGTAAAAACGTCATTATCAAACGTTTGTAGATAAAAAGGTTTAAAATACAGCGTTGTACAACATTTTGCTGGTTATAGGTATAGAATGTTTTATGTTATCCATCAGAGGTCGGTAACAACGTTGTACCACAAATTTGTTGTATTATAAAACTTTGCTATCATGTTTTGTTACATAGTCTGGACCCGGCTTTAAAATCCCTAGCGGTTTCTGGGAGTATCGAAGTCTAAACCAACAGGTTTCTGGTTTCTGATTTTGTATATTTAATAGTCTATAGCCATTAAATTTGGACATATCATATAAATCTCTCAAGTGGGAGAAAACAACTAACTGACGTAGTTTTCTTTTCTCGTTTACTGTAGATTTCCATTGTCGAGTTTTCTTTCTGTCAATCATTCTTCTTCGTCGTTCTTTACTGGCAGTTATTTTAATACTGGCTCCCACCATCCTACGGATATTGAAATAAATACCTATTTAAAAATCCTTGCATTAGGATTACAGAAGAAAAAGCTGAACTCCAAAAAACTGATTTAAATATTTTTCAACTGAAATCAAACTCAAGGCTTAAAAAATCTTATTTCGCATAGAATAAATGTGTAAATGTT